GCTATATACTTGAGTTATAAGAAATCTGCTGTCGTGATACAAAGACGATACAGAGCCTTGACTGCTATGAGGAAAGAAAGGTCCGACTTCATAAAAAGACGTACAGCTGCAATTTATTTGCAACAGAAGTATAGAGCTCATATTCTCATGAAAGAAGAGAGGATGAGGTATTTAAGAATTATGAATGCATGCAAACGCATTCAAACGTACTATCGATCTTACAGAGTTGCTGATGAGCAAAGAAACAAATATCTATTATTAAAAGAAAAAACAATTCAAATTCAACGGAGATATAGAGCTTTAATAACAATGAGAAAAGACAGGACTGCTTATGTGAATATGCTGTCAGCGGCCATCGTCATACAAAGAAGATTCAGAGCTCATCAATTAATGTTACAAGAGAAATTCAAATTTAATAGCATATTACGAGCCTGTATCAGCATTCAACGGTATTACAGAGGATATTTAGCAAAACGCGAGCAAAGAAAATATTACGTTAGTATGAAAAATGCTGCAACTTTAATTCAGACGAGGTACAGGAATTATAGGGAAACCAAGAGATTACATAGCCATTATATCGCATTAAGACAATCAGCAATTTTCATTCAACGTCGAGTCAGAGCCAAATATCATGCCCGGGAACTAGCTCGAAAAGCGGCAGCAGATAAAATACAAATATGGTATTTATCTATCAAACTTCGTAATCAATGCCGATCACAATACCTTAATATCAGAAGGAAAATTATTATCATACAATCGCTCTACCGAAAGTATTCTGCTCGAAAACAATATTTGAAAACCCAAACAGCGGCCATCACTATACAGAGATATTATCGTTGTTACAAGTTAGCTAAGACTGAAAGGGAAAAATACGTAAACTTTAAGACTTCTGTAACTAAATTACAAGCTTGCATACGGTGCTTCATAGACAGAAAACGGTACCTGCGACTAAAATCTGTAGCTCTTGTTCTGCAGGCTGTGTATAGACTGAAAAAACACAAAGCTTTGCTACAGCAACAAAGAATTGACGCAGCTATCTCCATTCAGAAGAATGTAAGACGATACTTGACACAATCGTGGTTTAAACGATATCGCAAATATGTGACGTTCATTCAAAGACTATGGCGAGGAAAGATTACAATGAGAATTGTACGTAGAGAGTTCTTGCACAAGAAAGAAATTATCACTAAGATACAGGCTGCGGCTAGAGGTTACCTGGTGCGAAGACAAGTTGAAAATAAAAAGGCGGAGATCAAAAAGTTGAGAGAGGAGCAAAGAAGGAATTGGGCTGCTTCTAAAATACAGGTATGTCTAACTAGGGCTATTTAAATATTACATTCCGTCGAATCGAAGTATAAGTGACCTTTTAATACAGAATATAAGTCACCTTTTTATACAGGTAAAGAATGAAATTAATAATTTCAATGATACATTATCCTAATGTTTTAATGATGATAACATCTAGGCCCTGTTCCGCGGCCATCGTGCTCGCATGGCGGGTGACACTCGCGTGCGTCGGCTGCGTCTTCGTTGGCGGGCTGGCGGGCTACGCTCCACTCAGGAGTCTTTGGCAGAGAGGAATGAGGAAGCCATGGATGTGTTGCGTAACATGTCCGATATTGAGACTGTCATCAGAGCGTTCAGATCACTCGGTCAGTATCATATAGTTTAGGATACATACACAATACTCTTCTTCTACCTGGCAAATTCCCAGCTTTAGCCAGGGTCTGCCATTATATGTTGTGAATAGTTTTGGCTCTTTGTTTTTACGACCGGCCGCCTGCCTGATATCAACCCTCTTTTTGAAAATCAGCATTAATCACATACACAATTATTGCAACGAAAAGAACTTAATTAGTAGCTACTCTCTAATTATTCGATTTATGGCATCTGGAATACTTTCTTGTATGTCTATAAATGGTATAGATTTCTATGAGACAAAAAAAAATCTGAATTTGGCAAATAGAATATAAGTTTATATTTTCATTTTTTTTTTGTTATATCAGAACTTCTCACGGAAGTGTTCCCGATGATGTACAACTCTAACGCAGCGTCCATAGTACGCCGAGTCTATGTCTACATGTCCGTTACAAACAGATCTATTTCTAGCATAGAAGTATTGAAATCTGCTGCCTCCGTCCTTGTTAATTTAACTAGGTATAGAGTCACAGGACCGAAAATATACGCTGTAAGTTGTTTTACTAACATTTCAAATAAATAGTTTTAGATTTATGATTATATTTTTTGTATACTTATATTTTTATATCTGTTTCAGAGGGATCGTATTCCGCCCGTCCTAAAGTTCATGTGGCGATTTAGTAACAGTGAGACGACATTGTTTTGTATATTTGCAACTTATTTGTGGCTATTTTCTAAATACGATGAAGTTAAGAAGGTGAGTTTAAACTTTGATATTGAGGTGAAAAATATTGAAACTTTTTGCTTACTGGAAGTAAAAATTGTCTAATGAGATTGCTCAAAATCTCGTGATATATTTGTATTTTGTATATAAAATTAATTTGATATTCCAGGATTTGACCGAGTTTCTGCATATGCCAGAAAATCACAAGATGTTAGTTACTATTAAGGGAAATGTTAATAGGATGAAGAGGATGACTAATAACACTAGAAATAAATTTAGTACACCACAGCCGACTAGGTTCGTGTCTCATACACTGAACCAATCAGTGAGAGCTAGTGTTAATACTAGCCACTGTAGTTATGAGAGCTCTTTGCTACCGGCGTTGGAACCGGATTACGGCATCACTAGAGCAGACAAACCCCGATACTTCGAAGACGCGCAACAAGCAATAAACTGCCTCTTCGACACTTATAAACTTTAAGTTTTATGTAATTTGTGCCTATAATTATATTGACATGCTTAAAATTATGATTATTACGATATTATTAACCTAATTATGTATAATGTTGTGTGTATTTTTTACGGTTTGTTACGGTCACAACTATTATTTATTAAATAAAGTTTTATATTTAAGTGTTAAGTGTTTCTACAATTGATTACCTAAAATCGTATTCCAACTGCACTACTAAAATGTACAGAGTATTTACATATACGGTATAATATATAACAGTTATTTCTGTAATATAACAAATATGTAGTACGAATTACGACTGCAACAAAATACGAAATTAAAACTCCAACCGTTTCCAGCCATTGTTGTCGCCATAAAAATAGGTTTTCCTTTGATTAAAATAATATTAGAAATTGTAATAATCTAATTTCTTATATTCGGGCTAATTTAACAACACTCATAATTATAGCTGAAGAAGTAAGTCGAATTTATTACTTTACGAAATCATTTTAAATATGCAATGCTTCGTGTGAGATCGTAAATAGCAATTACCATAAAAATATTTAAAATAATGATTTTAATATATTAAATAACTAAAGATAAAAAGTGAAGTTTAGGAGAATTACAAACAATGAGATATATCGTACATAGTAACATTGAGATATGAGAAATTGGCGAAGTCTAGACAGCAACGCCGATAACTCAAAAAGAGCAAGCTTAAAGATTTATGTGTGAAAATTTATTTTACATGCCGTTTTATTCGAACTTCAATATTAAATAGAGAAGAGCATTGGACACAAATTATAAAACCTTCTTTCGGCAATGTTAACTCGATTTTGAAAAATCGATACCTAGCCTAAGTTCATTTCAGAATTTTTGATTTCCATAATCTGTCCTAATATCTTTTGACATCTAGAAAACAAGACTAATGACAATTGACAGTGACATTTCTGAAACATCTAAAAGCAAAGATTCTATTTTATAATTATTTTAAGACACGCCACTAACTAAAGAAGAAAAAGAATATTTTAAGATAATACGATTAACTATTAAGCCTCAATGGATGAGTTCGTTAACTACATATTGCTGATTCTTGTTATCCTTCCTGTTATTTTATTCATAAACTTGTGGGCAGGAATAGGATGGGAGCTATTCGTAAACAATTAAGTGTTGTAAACGTATCACTCATAAATAAAAATGAGTGTTTAATTAATATATATTTCAATAAAAGAAGAGATATTCAAGACTAGTCCATTGGCATGGCCATCTGTTTATTTAAACAAGCTGAATGTAACTTATAATAATGGTACCAAATAAAACGATGTATATATATAAACTGTATTTATTGATAACGTTATAAAATCTTTAAGTCATAATAAGAAACATTTATAATTAAGACATGATTATATTAATTCTTATATATTAGGTGTATAATAGCCATTTTTCTTTGAACAATTTTAACATAATACCTTAGAGTTTTGGATTTGCCTCTCATGATTTACACTAAGACCACAATTAATATTATTATCACATTATAAATATCATAACTTCTAAGTTGCAGTTGACAATATTTATATAATTTCCTTCTTTTTTTACTAATAATTTTTATACACATAATATTGTCAAAAGTCAAAACGAGTTATAAATCTTTTACTTCATTATATAAGTTTATTTTCACAATATTAGTGTATCTTTAAATTTTGCAACAATATCTTGAATTTAACAAGATTTTAATTGGTAAATCTTAAGCATTACTTTGATAGTCATATTAAATTATAACAGGTCAATTATGAGAACAATTACTAAGACTTAGCTACATGATGATTAAACAGAAAATGAACAAATGATTATAACAATGGGTAAAATTCCACATCTTATTATATTTTAAACCCTTCCAAATAATCTTAGAGTAAAAATTATTATAACACAATTCACTGATGAATATTGACAATAAAGCTATTGAGTAATAAGTGAAAATTCCAATACCTAAACTAACCAATTTGAAAGAGTATGTTTAAGTTAAAAAAATATATATTTATCATGATTTGTGATTTAATATCATTGGTAGAACTTTCTATGAGCATATTATATCACATGTTACAGAGTAATGACTATTTTTTTTATTATATTTATAGTACAATCTTTGTCTTATAATAGAGGTAAAATATTCGGGGTTCGGTTTGATTTTTAAATTTCACTAGAAAGTAGAAGTTCCTCCATACCCATATGACCTCTGTGTCTCCATACTCTATACCGAGCAATGTCCTTACGAGTCACCATGCCAACAACCTAAAAAATATTAATTAATATACATAGGGTATTAAAAAACTATCATTATATAAGAATATCAGTATTGGGTCCATAAACACAGATGATGAGTATAAAAAATAACTAGTTTATTTTTCAATGTGTGCTACACACACAAATAAACTAATGAAAATCAATTTAATTTAAGTACTTGAGAAACTGCCACTTAACTAATCGTAAGCAGAAAAATATTTTATTAAATATTGTTCAAATATTAATTTGTAAAGTTTGAAAAGAAATATGAGTTTCTTAATGATACATTAAGGTTCTGTTCTTTCTCAAGCATGTTAATTTAAAAATTAAATATATATGTTAATTTAATTTAAAAATTAACATGCTGTTTATAATGTGGATGTTTTGGTTGAGTGAAGACAAAGCATGTATTCAAATTTCAACCTTATATTAAATCTACCGAACAATTATAATTAAATACCCACAAACAGCAACTTTCGAGTTGAATATGTCAAAAAATTACAACAGGCAACATTTTGGTGATCATAAGTGTAAAAGTAATTTTATTTCTACCAAATGTTTGAGTAGTGCAACTAAAGAAATATATTCTATGTGTCAAGTTTAATATTTTCAAGACTATTATGATAATTTTGTTTGTTTTATTATGAGTATTTTCTAAAAAATAATATTTTCAAATTATTATTTATTTAATTTTACTTCTAAAGTTCTTATATAGTCATACCTCATTATGATCGTTGACTATGGGCAGGTGTCTTAGACCGAGGGCTCGGAACAGTCTGAAGAGTCTCGGCAGTGAGGCTCGGTGTGGTAGTGTATAAGGAGACGGATTCATAAACGGACGGAGGTCTATCATACAGGTCTTCTCCCACTCTTGGATATCCAGCTAGTAGAATACACAGACATACACATAAATACATATACTATATACTAGCTTTCCGCTCGTATGGAGTTCGGTTATATCGCGTTTCCAAGAGAACCTTTCAAAAGTCTTCGATAAAAACTATCCTATGTTCTTTCTCAAGGTCAACTCTATCTCTGTACTAAATTTTAATAAAATCTGTTCAGTGGTTTAGGCGTGAAAGTGAAACAGACAGACAGAGTTACTTTCGCATTTATAATATTAGTAGGGATATGATAGATTTGACTAAAACCATTTTAAATCTCTAAATAATATGAGAGACAAAATATAAAAGAATACATCAATTGTTATTTGCAATAGCCCGTGACTGATTTGTTTTCATCAAATATCACACTTTTACTTGATACACTACATATGATAGTGAGCTGTGTACATACTTTAAAAAAAAGTCAACAATATTAGAAACACTGTTAATCTCAATTGTAAAAACAAAATGAGTAATTTGCATGTATAGACTAAGCTTCATTCATTGATTTCATTTTTCACAATCATGTTCTAAATTATAGTGATTATTTGTCAAAATAAAATGTGTATGAAAGCTATACGGTCTTGTATTTTAGTGTTATGTTAGTGTTTTTAAACATACCAAAAAAGATAACTAGATATAGTAATTGTGTTTATTACCTTATCTATAGACGGATATCTGGGATACTCCTTCCTGAACATATCCATGTCTACGTTGAAGTTCGACCAGGTGGTGTTGGCGTTTTCGTTGTATATTTTATTATGGAGAAGAACGATCAGCTGATCACGACGGATGAGACCACGCAGACGCTTGTATGTCGTCACTTCCGCCTCAAAATGTTAATAGAATCATTAGTAATTGGGCATAATATTATAGATTTATTTTTTATTTGATATAGCATGTTTTGCTGCTCAATTTGTTATGTGTAATTTGTAATACTTTTTTAATTATATTTTTTTAGTCTTAAATATTATTCGGTTCTATATGTCTAAACAGGAGAAAAATTTAACCTACACATTTTAATTTTATTATCTACTCTTCGAAATAATATAAACTTTTAACTATATGAAATAATTTAAGTGCTTGTATGTTTATCAGTCAGCTCAATCTCTGTACCAAATTTCATTAAAATCAGTTCAGTGGTTTAGACGTGAAAGGCTATTTTGCATTGTTAACCCCCGCAACCCCCTTGTGGGTGGAATTTCGTAAAATCCATTCTTAGCTGACCTCTACTTGGTGAAAGGAATAATCCTACCAAATTTCAAGTCGCTACGCCTTATTCCAGAGATATCGTGATGAGTCAATATATAGGTGGAAATCTCTTTTATATATATAGATATATGCTCACATCATCAGCTAGTGGCGGGTCCACCACTGGGAATCCATTATAGCTGACTACCCTCAGTATCTCAACTATATGACCGACGTTCTCAACTGTTCTGAGTGTGAACACCGGGTGCGACATGACTTCAGACGCGTATATATTGTGAGTGAGAGGCGGCGGCTCCCACGGTAATAGTGGAACTCCAGCTAATTGGATGTGAATGTCGTATATACCCTGGAATAAAATAGATTCATTATGTTACAGACTATGCCCAAGACAAAGTGCAAAGTGGAGGCGTTTAAGTAAGAAGGCAGACCCTGGCTAAAGCTGGGAAATTGCCAGGAAGAAGAAGAAGACTACAATGAGACGAAACCTCTTAGCATACAATGGATTCATGCAGTGCTGAGTCCATCGTTGCAGTGAGAGGAGCTTCAACAGTGACTGGGACTTGCGACCTAGGTGTAGGTTTAAAGGACTATCTAACGCGCGTTAAACGCTAACCTCCACCGTCCAAGTTCCTCTCTCTATCAAACGAAATTTGAAAAAAACCTACTAGGACTGCCTTCGAATTACGCATAAGATTCTAGTCATCTATCCATTAATGAATTTTATGTTTGTAGAATTTTTATCATGTAATTTATGATTTGTAGTTTATTTATCACCACGATCAAAAACTTTCAAATTTATACATATCTAAATTTTTTTTTACAGATTCTTTGTTTTTTTTGTTGGTAACACCAAAAAAGATGATGTATGACCTCGTTAAAGAAGTCTCCAGTCCATTTAGCGACAACCAGTGTGATGATGATAGGCAGCGCGTTGGATATTTGTCCCGTTGTCTCTATGATGATGACAGTCAGTGATATAGTCATACGGACCACTCCGCCTAACTGAGCCGCCGCACCCACCAGCGCGTACTTCGCGGGATTGATGCTCTGGTGATAGAATGAAAGACATTGGTAGTGTTATTTATATATGTTATTTAATATTAACTCGGAATTATAAGCTAGTGATGTGCCTACCAATATTTCTTATATAGTATACACATACTTTTGAATTGAAGCATATTGATAAATATTTTTTGAAAAAGCCCGTGCACTTTAACTTTAATACTTAGGATAATGATGTACAAATACAAATTATTTCATTAAATAAAGTCAATACATAATTTTTGGTTTAGATTTAATTAAGTTAATAAATATCAGATTGTATTACAATTGTAAATGATATAGACTATTTTTTGATGCGTTTGTTACACGAAGTAAATAATAAAACTTATTAAGATTTATACAATTTTGAATTAAATATTCATAAATATTTAGTTTTTGTGGATCTTCGGTAACATTTTTGTGGGTAGTATCATATAAAGCTGTTCATATTGCAACATTTACTATATCGTACTTACATGCCCAGGAAGCATATATTGTATTATAATAGCAAGAAGTCTTCCCCACGCCGCTCCGGTCAGCAAATTGGGTATAAACAGGCCACTGGACACCGCGAGGCCAAAAGTCCACGTCGATAGGAGAAAATACACCACAACGAACACCAACAGTGACCATGGCTTATATGAGCCCATGGGATCGTGCAAAAATGATCGTACTGACGCTTCGGGCGTTTGAAACCAAATCGCAGCTAATGTATTGTATTCGCCATCAGCGCAGAATAACTGAAAATATATCATTGTATCAATTGGTCGTTATATAATGCGTTTATGGAAAATGTGTTACAGGTATAGTGCGTTTGATTTAAGCTGAGCTTTGTATTTGTGTGACTGCACACGGATAGTGTAGGTGTGATGTCAAATTTTTGAATGAAACGTTCTTTTCTAGATGTAAACCGGTTTGTACTGCTTTTACTCCGCCCCGCACCTTCCCCACTTCACCTTTTGTACTGGTAGCAATATCAAATGTTGAAAACGCAATGTCAAGTGAATAAGAATTTGTAGTATTTTCAAAATTCTTATTAATCAATATTTTTTTTTACTCAATACTCAAAATATTTCTATCTGGACTTTTACAAGATTTGCTTATTTTGTAGCACTTATGTTATGTATCTATTTTAAATATAATAAAATTTAATTCTAAAAGTTTCTTGTTTAGCCCTACTTTTACTTTCACTCACACAAATGCAAAGCTCAGCTTAAGTCTAACGGACTATACTATGGTTTTATTGAGTTTTGTTTGTGATTTATCACCTGCAGCGGTACTTTAGTCGGATCCTCTCCCAGTGGTCGACAGTCGTCTAAGAGAAACATCATGAGAAAACCGCAAGATGCACTAACTGCTGCCACCAGACATGCCTCTACCACGCGCAACCACGCTGAGCCCACGTACCTATATATAATAACACGTTAGCGATAAATAAACGATACTTCATAGTACAGGTTTAGCTTCTGTGTGCAAATATTACATATATTAAACGCGATGAGGAAACCATATTTCGTGGTATGGAGTAGAAATAAATAAGTCATTGATTTGATATATTCTAAAAGACAAAATGATATCCATACAGATATTGAATATATACTATAAAATTCTTTAATATGTATTTCAATGATTTTCCTTTCATAGAACAAGATATTAAAATATATTCCTAACATTACCAACTATTTAACTACATAAAAGTATCAAGAAAATATTTAAATCTTTTTAAACTTATTTGATTCAATTACTATTGAGGTTAAAAATAATCTGCATACCATAAAAAGTAATAAGTTCATTAACTGATCGTTAAGTGAAAAAAATGAGCAAATGCCATCATTATATAACTTAGTCGTCGTTTAGGAATTATTAGATTACTATGATAGTTCTTATATTAATAGTTTATGGTAATAATGATATCCTACCGTATCCTGAACACGGTCAGCTTGTAATTGATGTGGTTCCAGAGAGCTCCAAGCACACCGCCAACGACTCCAAACATCATGAAAACCGGAAGCTCGTAGAATTGAAACGGAAACGGCTCCATTTTACCAAGGTTGAGAAGACCTGGAGAAGATAGCATATATAAATTATACAAAATTGAACATATTATTAAATTTATATTGATTTGTGTACATAATAAGGGCTCTGTTGTTGGCAACACTAAATTATCCCTACTAATATTATAAATGCGAAAGTAACTCTGTCAGTCTGTCTGTCTGTTACGCTTTCGAGCCTAAACCACTGAACTGATTTTAATGAAATTTGGTACAGAGATGGACCAATTTTTTTGGAAAAGCATTTGGAAATGACCTTGAGAAAGAACATAGGATAGTTTTTATCCCAGACTTTTGAAAGGTTCTCTTAGAAACGCGATATAACCGAACTCCACGCGGGCGTAACCGCGGGCGGCAAGCTATAAATATATAAATGTAGCATAAGCAATAAATAAATGTAGTAAACCTGGATAACTCAATTCCCCTGGGTGACCGTGATACGCGGACAGCGCAAAATTGAGTGTAAACGTTGAGACGACTGTCCCAAAGAAAGTTCGCCATGTCAGACCCTGGTTCCAAAAACTTGTCCCTTCCTCCAAAGAGAACAATACACCTCCTGAAACAAAATATATACGTTGTTATTATTTACGATTAATATAACTAACTAATAACTATTACTTATAACTATGGTATTATACAAAAAATGTACATGTATTGTTACTGAAAATTTCATTAAACAGTAACTTTTCAATAAATATTATAAACTATTCAACTAACCTATAGGTGCTCCAAAGGCCGCGGAAACTCCGGCCGCAGCGCCGCCTGATACGAAATCTCTTTTCTCATGATCTTCGCGAAAGTATTGGAACACTTTGAAGTCTTTGTTGAAAGTGGTGCTCTTCCCTTGAGATATACCCGCGGCAACCACGGCACCGCTATGAATCATCGGACCTTCCTGTTGAAATTCAAGTAAAATGAGCTTAATTAGAAAAATATCAATGAAATATAACAAATTTTTGTTCCATTATTTGCCTTCGCTATAAGCAATAGGAATATTCAATAATCTTTGAATAGGTAAAGAAGATACATATTAATATATAGTGGACCAATCATTATATTTATGAAATTTATCTTGTTTTGATGTATACAGTATATAATGTAGTAAAAATTTTATATAAAAAGAAGATATATTTACAAACCTTTCCTCCAGCCAATCCCCCAACTACTGCAGTAATAACACCCACAGCTTTAACGAACAAAGTCTTTATTCGCACCACGCGTGGGACTTTCACGCCGTTCAAGTAGCATTTGACTTGAGGAATACCGCTGCCAGCAGCTACTGGCTGGAATGAATAATAATTTAAAATAAATATAATAGTGAGCAATGTTTAAAATCGAAACACATTTTCAAATTGAAACCAAAGAAATTTTTTTTAATGAAAAATTTAAAATAGAATGATTTTAAATTTCGAATTAATACTAGTTATATTAATAGAAAAAATACGTTATTTTGGGCGTCTATTCAGTTTCATATATCTTTAATGTTACTGATAAGTTTATATAGGTCAACAAATGTTTAATAACTCACTTCCACATATGAGACCAGCATGGAACCAATGAACACTATACATATATTGGTCAACACCCACAACAAGTAAGGTATATACAGTTCATCCAACAGTACATATGTGTCAACAGCTGAGTTAAATTAAGGAAAATATATACATATTAAATAATAAAGATAGTCTAATAGTAAGCTATAGTGTTTTTATATAAAAATTAAAATACATTTAAACTCCTCAATTGTGAATCATAGTTTGTTTGACTTAGTTTTACTAACCAATATTTAAAAATATATGGTAAAATAATAGTTCTAGTTAAATCTATGTTTAGTACTACAATTATTGAGAAACTCCTCATTAGACTGTTAATATGTTTCATATATCAAAAAAAGGATACATTTCTTTAATTGTTTATATTTTATCTTTGAGAATTCTTCTATACATATATCTATAGTGAATGCTATCAATGCTGTTATGACTCCAATCAACAACACAATAAACCATCTTGCTATGTCCTTCCACACAACAAATGGGTAGCCTCTTTTCCGTTCCTCGTCAAGTAATAAATGATTTTCACATGTATCATAATCTAGACTCTGTAATAAAAGACAATATTAATATGATTTGGTTGTAGAAGTTAAATACATCTCCATAATATGTCTTCTCTCCTTCTTCCTGCCAATTTCCCAGCTTTAGCCAGGGTCTGCCACCTCTCCATAATATGTACAATACGAAATAACTGAGTATGTATAGATCTTACTTGAAATTTATTTTATTTTTTTTATTTATTTACAACAAGCACACTTATAACATACATCTTGAATATTTACAGTTAAAGTGACTATATTATAACATCAGATGAAATCAATTTAATATGCATTTTGTTAAGCTACACTTAATATATGAAGGTTATTTACTTATAACTAATAATTTGTTTTGTTATAGAAGTTACCTAAACATAACTATATACAGAATCAAAAGTAAATTTAAGGAATAATTTATTATATTGCTATCGAAAATATTACCTCATACTTGGCTGATAATATATTCATTGAGCCCGGCTCAATTTTTTGTACTGGTTGTCTACGTCGGACCCCATGACTGCCATCTCCTGACTCCTATATACATAATTACTTTGTTATATACTCATATTCTGATGAATGAATAGTTGTAGACTAAATTAAATTTACCACCTCTATGTATATTTGGAAATATTAATTTATCAGCTTAAATATTCACTTTATAGTAATAGAAAGTTAAGTTAGTATGAATCCATCGATTAATTTATTAGAACGAAACTAAGCCTGGTAAGAAGAAATATATAAAACTAAATAATAATGTGTTTTTTATTATATTTTAACAGTGATCATGTGTTACCTGTATATCACTTGATTTATTAAGCTGTGTGAAATGCGACGTGCTAGCTTCTTCTTCATTTGTTATTAAATTAGCTGTGTCCGATGTATTAACACTTATAGTGTCGTCAACTTTCGACGAGTTGCTCATTATTAGAACGCTCTTTAATCATTCAGGAAATAAAAAATACAAATAAACAAAGAGGCGTGATAAGAACACTACATGGTGATAATTATATTTCATATGATCTTATTCCTTACTCATTGATTAGAATTTATTATTTTTTTAAAAAAGGAAATAGTTTATATCTTAGATCATATTATTACAATAAACTATAATAAAACTTTATTAATAAGATTATCAACTTATAAGTAGTCACTATTATTCACTAATTATTTGGAATTAGCTATCATAGCTCTTCTTATTAATGTGTTATCAAATATCACAGCACTAATACATATTGATACTTATTCATCAAATTCATTCCTGTCAAGAGTGCAATGTCAAACACACTGATAGTTATAATGAGTGATCGATTTTTTTATCGATTTTTAATACAACGTTTATTATTTTAATACATGATCGATTTTTCTGTTTTATATATTCTGCTAAAAAATAAACATTTTATTTGAATTTAATTTATTATATTATTGGCTGTTATTTCACGCTTATAGCTAGCATTCCCCCACGCATATAGTTTATATTGAATCGATTTTGTTAAAAAGTGGAAAGATTTTAAATTATATTTCTTACCTATCATAACTTAGAAACATTTTGTTAATATTCCATATTTGAAATAAAACAATATATTAATATAGATTAAAACATGTGCACATTTTACTTTCTTTCGTTTCAATTTTAATATTGATAAAGTCACAAATTATTATTAGAGATAATTATAATTTTAATGAGAGCAAATTATCACATTGATGGGATATTGTCAGATTAAGATAAAGATAGTTTAGAAATATTATCAAACAGTGATTAAATTGATAGCAGAAATCACTTGACAACGTTATCATTTTATCAGTATGTCAACTGTTGAACACTAGCGCCACTATCTAGCGCATACATACGCAATAATCAGCGTACCGTAAACAATGAAACGTTTCTATGTGTGTGTAGCTTGCTCGCTCGTTTGGTTGACAATCGCGATGTGATGTATCCTACATCATCGCATGCTGAGTTATATTTTCAACATATCTTTTTAATTTTTGTATTAGTTAAAACATTTATTTCTAAATGTTTTCTTTCGTCGTGGTCTCGTTTCTATGTTTTGATTTATAAATATGTGTAATTTGCCGCCGAAGTTCCATTCAGTGTGTCGCCTTTGTTTATCATTCTGTGGCGATAATTGCAGTGATGTTAAACTCCCAATATTCGATCGTGATAAGGATAAATCCCGGCTTTCCGAGATGATAATGACGTATTTGTCTATAATGGTAAATAATTTGTGATTATATTTTGATTAGCCAGTACCAGAGATACCTTTTTCTCGTGTGAAAGTTTAGCATAAGCGTAAGAGATTGTGGATACTGATAAGCGCCATTAACTTTCTCGCGGGTGTTGAGTATTTTCGCATTGTGATATCATATTACGGCCCACGCGTTGTGTGCTCGAGCGTATGACTAATGTTGTTCGTGGAAGTGATAGGCGAGGCGGTCCACAGCACGCTGTATCAGCCGCGATCCGCGCACTGATAACAAAGGAGCGCCGAATACGAGAGCAACTCCTCATACCTCATGCTGCGAAACGCTAGACATACCTATACACATTACCCATCTATACACAATAGGCGCAAGAAACATTTCGAATGTTTATAAATAACAAGAACTAACATGAATAGATAATACATTTGTCTACCAATGGTGCTATTTTGAGAATTATAAATTTCTAAATATAGCATTGCATCTTATGTATGGGGAGAACTTTTGCCCTTTACTGCTATCTAAGTTTAAATGATTGACTATAAACATAAAACAGGTTTATGGGTTTTTCTTCATTCTTGTTATCAGATTGAGTTGAGATGAATCATTTAATATGATTGTAGAGATCACATATAGATGTGTTGTGAAATAGTTGTTATAGTATGGTTGTATATTTGTAGGTATCATCAGAGGACATGCTGCCGCAGGTAGTATGTGGTAGCTGTGCACACAAACTCGATGAGTTTCACACATTCAGGGAACTGACACACAAGTCTGAGAGACTATTGGAACAATTTGTACAATATGCCAATTCACTATCAGGTCCGAAAGAGGTGAGTAATAAAACATATTTATTTCATAAACACTAAATAAACTCATTTACAAATACTAACTAATATAAGTGATATACATTTATATAATATGTATTATATTCTTATGCGTAACTAGAATCATTAATGATGTTAATGTATCTGATGGGTTCACTTCTCAGATTCTTTCTATAAAACTCCTTAATAAAGTTAACAAGGATTCCACATAGCATTCCGATGCCTACAACAGTGGCTACTCCCAGTATGCTCCATAATACATGCTTTGGTTTCAAATCTTTTAGTGAAAATCTATTTTTCTGTGCGAATGTTGTGTCAAGTGAAGGGCATAGGGGCGCTGTAAAATTTGTAATATATGTTCCACTCAACCTCATTGGTGCAGCACAGCTGAAAAATAATACCGGCATCAGTAAAATGCCTATTTAAAGAATATATGGCCAATATGTTATTTGAAAGTAATTGATTATTATTTAATGAAAGTTTATAATGGACTCACTAAGGTACTTCTTCAGATTTGAACTTAGTACCAGCTTCTTGTCTTGTAACAATATCTGCTAAATCACAGTTGCAAAGCCAATTGTTGCCTGACATCCCTAACACTTCTAATCTGTTCCATTGTAGCAAGTCAGTTGGCAGTTCGCTAAGATTATTCTCATCAAGATATACCTAAAAAATAATGTTATATATATTAAGGGTGTGAGAACAATACATTATTATAGATTTATTAAATATAATCTTTTTTTTAAATTCTTATATCAAAAAGGTTCAATAATTAAAAGTTATTATTGATATTTTATAGGATATGGTAGAATTGTGTAAAACATATGTATTTAATTAGTTAAAAATTAAAAAATATAGTATATATATTGTTATTATTAAAGAATATTTTTAAATATGATAAGTTGTGCAATCAACTGTTATCAAAAGCTACAAACTGATTGATCAGCTGACCTGGTTATTTGCTTGACTTGTTGGAAAATATAACTGGGTCGAACCAAAATGCATTTATAGCTTCTATGAAGGCACACATCAGCCACTATTATACTTATAATGTGAATAATTTACAATATATAATATTTACATATCTGAGTCTCATTTTTTGCTTACAAGTATATGATAATAGAGAAAAAATTTAAGCAACTATTTCATAGAAATATGCTTTATATTGCTGTTTACTATTAAGTTTGCCAAACAAATATATATAAATAAATATATGTAAGCATTGATAGACATTATCTATCATCGGGCTTCTATTACTATTAGATACGATTAATATAATTTTTTATAAAAAAAACCCGTGAGAAGGTCACGTTATTGGCTATATAAAAAACCGAATCAATAAGCGTCACACGGATTAGGCTTAACTATGACGTTGGTTTAATAAAACTCGTACCTCTTTCAACGTCCATTTGTCTTTGATTAATCGAAAGGCGTTATGACTTATGTATCGTAAGTTTCGATTGTGACACAGGTGCAAAACACGCAGGCTCTTCAACGGCGTGAACGTACTGCGTTTCACTTCTTCCAAGTTATCGTTTTCACCGACTTCTAATTCGAGAAGATTTGACAAACCTATTAAAATAAACATAAAAAGATAGCGTTTAGAATATAGATTGTAAATTAGTTAATATCAATCATAAGATTAAATCGTAGGTTAGCTTTTATCGAATGTAAAATTATGATATGTATACATTTTTCTCAACTAATGATATTTAAATTCTTAGATGATGCGGAAACTGAGTCATTCTATATGCTTCATTACAAAATGTTTGCGGTACATTATATAGACTAATGCCTGTAATATATTTGACGCACTATTCCTAGTAAGCTTTGTTACATCTTGCCCTTCACTTTTAATTCATTGAAAGCATGTCCGGCTACTAAACATCTAACACAAAATCCATACATCACTGATATTTATTCCTTCGATTATAATTTTGAATATCAAAAAGAAAGTTATACAAATTATGTAATATAGGAAATTGAAAGTTATCTGTGGGCGAAAAATTCGTTAATTTTAATGGCGGGAAATTCTAAGAACTGTGGCTCGACGGTTACAAGTTGTTAAATGTAATAATCATAAAATTACGACTCCATAGTCGGCGCGTTTTAAGCTCGGTGACATTTATATCAATTTAAACACTTAAAGTCGTGATCGGGAATCATTTAATCGTAACATATTACGATCCGATGTAATGAATACGATATTTGTATAAGATATAATCATGATTTTCGTACGTTTTAAGTGAATATGAATAGGTTATAAAATTTTCACTCACCAATGAAACTGTCGTCATTGAGTTCTACGATAGGGTTGTTGTTGAAGGTGAGATACTTCAGAGTGCTGCCGACGAGACTCAAACTCTCAGGTACGGTAAGAAACTTATTCCCTGATAGATCGATCTGTCGTAAATTCAAAAGACCCCTGAATGTATCCAACGGTATTGTGTCTATATCCGTTTTAGATAGATCCAACACCTGCGAAATATTATGTCATTATATTATCTCTTTTTAATAATTCGAATACGTGTCTTTGTTTAAAAATAAACATCAACGTATAAATAGGTATATAAATAATTTGTTTGTCTTATAAAAACCGAAACATCGGCGTGAAGACGTAAGTAAAAACTAGTTTGCAATTTTACAACTTATAAAAATGTTTTGGTAATATTACGTTCAATATAAAAATAAATGAAATACCAAAGACAAACAATTATTAGCTGTTTAATATCTAGTGAACAAAAGTATGATCACTATGCTAAATTAAAATTATAATTAAATTATAGATGTTGTTTTTTTCAATTTATATTATAAGATCATAATAAAATTCTTAAACACATCAAAGACAAATATTATATTATACACACATTCTATATAAAGTCCGTTAATTTCTTGTATTATGTATGTATGTATTTCATAAGGTTTTAAAAATTATTTTGTTGATTATGTTTTGTATCATTCTATTTCTGTCGAATTCGATTTTTTATGATTAAGATGTAACACAATTTCGCTAACCTAACCGAGAATTATTAACTTTTACTCGAGATTTCTCATTTCTCATACATTTCATATTTCGTAATATTTTCTAATAATATTGAACTTAATATGATTGCGAGATGGACTTATTACGATTGAATTTAATTGAGTGAACTTATACGATTGTGTAATTCATTCATTAGGTATTTACAAATTAATTATTATTAAATTCTTAACAGATTCTTACTGAATTTCCTTCTCTTCATATAATAATCGTAATTCACAACTAAAAATTTAATATGAGTAAACAAATTATATAGATACCTCTAACTTGGTGGCACTCGATAGAGCCATTACAGTGACATGGTCCAAGATCTCAATGGGGTTGTTGTTAAGGTACAGACGGGTCAAGTTCGGTGTGAAATGGAACAAATATCTGTCCAAAGAGTGTATTCTGTTGTAACCCAAGTTTAGTGTCTCCAGAGCGATGCTGCTGTGTTCGCCGTTGTTATATTGACCTTGGAATATCTCACTACGGAGCACGTCGCCTTAAATAATGTATAGATGAATTTACGCTGTAGTGTTATTGCTAACATAATTTTACGTTTCAAATACAATTTGTTTATTTACGTTTTGTTTAATTATGTATAAACATCATAGGTATATTTTAAAAATAATAAATTAGTGTAAATATTAATGTATGTCTATGTAAATGTAATGAACGGAAAAGAATATTTTATTTTAAATATGATCATTAATTATATCATTCAGAATGATAGAAAAATGCTAAAAGCTTTTATTAGCTGATTATACAGGGTGACTGGTGAATTACTATCAATATTTAAGGAGAATACTCGGTACAAGATTCTCATTCGAATTATGTAAAAAAAAATAGGAACTTAATTTTTGACCAAATTTCCGTATAAATAAATAAAGTGTGGATACGTTCCAAGTGTGGACGCGTGCGGCGGCGTGCTGATACAACACCACGCCGCTAAACGCGTATGTGTGTGTATGTGTATACCTAATTTGTAGGGTGTTCACACTATGCGTAATTAATTACACAACTTTTGGTTAACTTTACTTAGAAGTTTATTAATATTTATGTTATATTAATTTTTATTTTGTCATATATGATCGTCAAATATCACGTCCACAAGTATCGATAGTAATTCACCAGTCACCCTGTATATGTATTTATTCATTCGGAAACATTTAATAATATAGTTATGTCATTTGTATAAAGTCAAATTAAATAAATTTATTAATAAAAAATAAATGACAATAAAATTTATAGTTATACGCGTCAATCGAGTTGGGGTTCGATAATTAAAGTACGTCATAAGATTCAGTGATAGTTTAAACAAATGTTTGCTTATAAATTATTAAAAATATATGTCACTATACAAATATGTACTTTTACATTGTTTTGTTAACCCAGAATAACAATCAATTTAATGTATGTGGAACTCACCTGACAGTCTATTGTTGCTTAGGTCCAAATACACGAGATTGTGGATATTTTTGAACGAATTATCCTGAATTTCGTTTATCCTGTTAGATTTGAAACTAATGGCTATCCTACTCGCTCGTATTGTATCCAACATAGTTATATTTGTGATGCTGTTGTTGAAGAAAGTTATAAGTACATGACCGTCTGAAAATAATTTAAATTATATTTTTAATTATTCTTCATAAGTAATAAGAAATTTTTCCGTCTAATCGTTATTGAATTTACGTTTTGAGTGTCCCGTTATCACTTTCATATCTGAACGGAAAATCGTTTTTCTCAGAAACATTGACGTTGTAGTGTCTTTGAATTACATCGTTCATAATAATTGTTTAAGCAAACATTAGCTATAATACGTAATGCGTCAATATTTTTATTATAACATTTATAAAATGATATGAACAGTCTCACCTTTGTCATCTATTTTATTTATTTCGTCCGGCCAACGCGGTATTGTTTCAATATTTCGTCTGGAGCAATTCAAAGTCAGATTATTTACATCTTGTACTGATAAATCGCAGGCTTCGTTTCGGACGTTTGTATCAGCGGTCGCGTTAAATAGGACGCCGGCTAATATTAACACCTATGAAAAGAATAACACGTAACTAACACAATAATTATTATAATTATTTTGTTATAAATATTTTCCACTCACTGCATAAAAATCTCTTAGATGGAACATCTTCGAAATATAAAAGGACACTGGCTGTACACCTGATAACGTTTTATAATCTTATCACGAGAGCGCTATCACACTGTAATTATTAGGCCGGCACCTCATTGGTGAACGAGTTTTATCTATTTACGTATTAATGAAGACGTCTGTACTAATATTATTCCTTTTATAGGATATCCTGAACGTGACCGCTGACAAGTTGGAAGAGATTATTAAATCCTTAAACGAGAATGACTACGACGATGCTATAAAGAGCAAGTACGATGAAATCGGCTCTCCGGACTCCACCGAAGAGATGAAGAACTTAGAGAGTCGGCAGGCGGCTGTGACACTGCTGCAGATAAAAAACTACGATCCAACTAAATACGCCGTTAAAACTGAGGAAAGTCCTCACATAATGTTCAATAGCGTACCGAGTTTACCGCCTGCCGACAGAGCGAGAGAGGTTATGCATTGTAATGCCGTCATAGATATAATAAGCAAGGCTGTGGCGGTGGCGCAGCGGGAGAACGTTGAGACACAGAACTATCAGCCGAATTACACTAGCGTCATAGACAGGACGTCCTCTACGGCCACAGAAGCGTACAGTCAGGAATACCCCGAAGAGCAATATGGGTATAATACTAATGACGTCATCAGCCCCCGCAGTGATGACGAAAACAAAGAAATGGACCTCTCTCTATACGGAACTATCAAGAACGAAGCGGCGGAACAGAACGAGCGTGATACTAGCTTCATACAGAACATAGCAAGTAATAAATCAAGCTTCGTAGATGAATACAAACAGCACGTGTTCGGTCAAGCTAAGAAGCATAATGATAGCTCGCCGGTATACGAGGAGTGCAGTCAAAGCAGCAGCGGTTCCGACCCTGATAGACTACAGATGGATATCTCTGAAGTATCGCAGGTATTGATAGTATGAAAATTATTCTTTATATCACGTCATAAATATTCCATTATGACTTTTATTTCTATATAAAATAAATTTAATAAGGTCTTTTGAATAATAATTGTTTCAAAAGATTTTTTTAGTCTATTCCTTAGATAATATAAACATCATGCGAAATGATAATGCAAGATTAATAGTGTATTAGAAAAAAACAATAATCTTGATGGTGTGAATGAACTGTAATGTTTACTAGCCTTCTCTCCCAATTCTGTTTCTTTTGATAGTATTTTGTAGACATCAATTCATTGAGCCATTATTATAGGATTTACAATTTCAACCATATCAGTAATATATAATAATATTTTTTTACATAATAAACATCTTTCATACCTGAATATGAATACAAAAAATACAACAAAAATGTTTCTATATAAGTCAGTAAAATGAATTCTAAATAACATTATCACGAACTACATACAACACTAATTGAATTGAACACGACTGTTTATTTATGGCAAAATATTTTCTCATTATTTCATTTCAAACGAATGCTTAATGTTAATACCAAATATAACTACATAACAAATACATGTGGTTGAAAGATAAAAAATTATTTTTTTATCTGTGTAGTGTAACAAGTAGGTTCTATTATTTTCATATGTAGTATTTGAAATAATATTAATGTTCTAAATGATGTATTTCTGTAAGGACGACCCTGAAGAGACTCAATCGGTGCCATCAGCTCAGTCATCACCCAAGCCGCCTCACGAGAACGACACTGACAAGGAGTCCCTGTGGCAGGCGCTCCACAAACAGAACGGTAATACATAGATTATAAAATGTAAACAAAAAGACCGAGAATATAGATAATAAATAAAATTATCGCCATGCCAATTATGTCAGATTTGGTTTAAAAAAAAAATGTTCAGCAAAATTTGAATTTAGAATTTAGAACCTGAAGATTCCTGATAGTTGTCTTTAATGTCATATATATGACAAAATTGGTTTAAAAAAAAATTGTTCAACAAAATTTGAATTTAGAACCTGAAGATTCCTGATAGTTGTCTTTAACGTCATATATGACAAAATTGGTTTAAAAAAATTTGTTCAAAAAAAATTTGAATTTAGAATTTAGAACCTGAAGATTCCTGATAGTTGTCTTTAACGTCATATATGACACAGGTCGTGGCGGCGAGGCGACTCACCTGCTGCGAAGGCTCATCAACAGCAAACACCTGGGCATGACGGTGTCCCCGCTCCGGGCCGCGCCCTCACCACTACCGCAGACACACGCGCACACACACAACGGCACCGTGTCGCCTGTGAGTACACACACACACACACACATACACAATACCACCAATAAACTTACACACACTAACTAACGCTAGCATCTGTACAAGCACACCACACATACTCGTAAACCCTTGAAACGCATACATGCATATGAGTATATAGTATGTTACTTACGTCATAAAATAACTAAATGAATATTAGGATTTATGCTTAGTTTAATAATCACAAAAACAAAAGCTCATATGTGAAAATTATCGAACGTTTTTTCATATAACATTTAACATATATGTATATATATTTTAAATGGCAACACCATTTTTATTTGGTTTTATAGTATAATCCTTTATCATGGATGAATAAATTATTACTGTTGGTGTTTTATAAACGACGTTAACTTTTTCTTGACCTATATACAGAGTGACTGGTGAATTACTATCGATACTTGAGGACGTGATATTTGACGATCATATATGACGAAATAAAAATTAATATAACATAAATATTAATAAACTTCTAAGTAAAGTTAACCAAAAGTTATGTAATTAATTACGCATCGTGTGAACACCCTACAGATTAGGTATACACACACACACACATACGCGTGCGGCGGCGTTGTGTTGTATCAGCACGCCGCCGCACGCGTCCACACTTGGAACACTTGGAACGTGTCTACACTTTATTTATTTATACGGAAATTTGGTCAAAAATTAAGTACCTATTTTTTTTACATAATTCGAATGAGAATCATGTACCGAGTATTCTTCTTAAATATTGATAGTAATTCACCAGTCACCCTGTATATGTATAAAATAATATATCCAAAGCGTGACATTATAGATAAATTTATATTATATTAAATACTTTACTGTATTTTAAACGTGTCGAGGTGACAAAGCTTTACAAATAACGTGTAAGAGAGTCGTGACTTTTGTACACAAACATACACAGCTATACATTATCTGTGTACAATACTACCTTCATCCAGCCCTGTTCAGTTCAATAATAAAGTATTGTATATTGTCACACTAAATTAGACTTTATTGCATATTAATAAGTGTCATGCTATAATATTGAATTGAGGATGTATAATCCGAACGCATCGCTACATTTTCCTCTTACCTTCACTGTATTATAATGGCCTGTAATAAGGAAGCTTCAAATCTCTTTAACGGGTGCTTCGTCTTAGAAATAACTAGTATGTTAAGGAAAATTCGGCTTCCGACTTATATATTTAAATTAACATAATAATGTGTCAACATTTTCATTGAGTTTTTCTACTATGACGTAATATAATCCCTACTAATATTATAAATGCGAAAGTAACTCTGTCTGTCTGTCTGTTACGCTTTCACTCCTAAACCACTGAACTAATGAAATTTGGTACAGAGATAGAGATGACCTCGAGAAAGAACATAGGATAGTTTCTATCCCAAACTTTTAAAAGGTTCTCATGGAAACGCGATATAACCGAACTCCACGCGGGCGAAGCTGCGGGCTGAAAGCTAGTTAGTTATAAATCATTCCATATTAAGTCTTCTACTCAATCTGTCTACGTAATGATAAGAAGATGCTGGCTAGTAATAAAAAATGTTGCCATTTGTACGTTTGATAAAAAAGAAAAAAATCATGTATTTCCATTGACAATTATTTATGTTTAAATGTACTCTACCGTGCGTGTGTACTAATATACAAACTGATAACACGCTGTGGTAATATTGGCATACACTGTCAACAAACATTGGCTACGAAATTGACATTTGATTTTTACAAATAAACATTAATGCGTCATGTTTTTTTTTTTAATGTTTACCGGCAAAGGTTTTGCTGTACATTTATATAGTTTTTGTTAAAAAAAAAATTAACATTTTCACGCTATGCTTAAATTTTGGGTGGGATATGTGTATGAAGTATGTTTGAAGTAAACAAATATATAAGCACGTCTTGACAACACAAATTAGGATATGATGGAACTAAATATGTTTCATAATTAATGTGGTTGCTATATGCAGTATGGATATCAATAAATATGACATCTCGTCTTAATGATCACGGTTGCTAAAAAGTAGCCGAAACGTCGGGATTATGTAGTTTGTAATCAAGAAATAAAAACGAGAAGTAAAATCCGAAAATATTTAATCATTTAAATGAGTACTCGCGTAAATCTTAGATCTCAAATATGATATATTCATGTATTAATATTGTATGTATAGAACGGTGAGTGGTCGAGTCCTACTCGCGGGTCGGCAGCGGGCGCCGGTACAGCAAGGAGGAAGCAGAGCTGCCCGGCTCGAGCACAACCAGCATTGGATACTACTGGATGGACCAGCGACCAGGTTATATTGGTTGATATAATGGATGAATGGACATTTATTTATTTATTTTTAGTTTTTGCTACAAACATACATTACATATAAAGGTTATACAGAAAAAAAAAATTAAATTTGTAGCAAAGGTGTCCATCTCAGTATAAGCTAAGCTAATGCACAGCACTGATTTTCTGATGGCCCCTGAATATAATATTAAACATCAAACTTTGACATCAATATTATATCTTGACCCTTGGATCACTGTAGCAATCTACTTCAGATATCAAACATGTGTTATGCTCCAATATTTTAATCCTTTTGAGAGATCGCTTGTTCTTAGTATATTTATAACCATACAATTAATTATGTAGATGACGATTGAAATTCAAATGTATGACAGACAGAGCTTCTAAACAAATAACCGTCATCCCTACTAATATTATAAATGTGAAAGTAACTGTCTGTCTGTTACGCTTTTACGCCTAAACCACTGAACTGATTTTAATGAAATTTGGTACAGACATAGAGTTGACCTTGAGAAAGAACATAGGATACATAGTTTTTATCTCAGACTTTTGAAAGATTCTCTTGGAAACGCGATATAGCCGAACTCCACGCGGGCGAAGCTGCGGGCGGAAAGCTAGTATGAATTATATATGTAAATAGTTTTTATATGTTACACAGCAGGAGAGTTCAGAGAACGCGTCTAACTCAACATCAAGCGTTGTGTCAAACGCGGCGAGAGGACCTCGTGTTGAACTATCATGTAGTAACTGTGGTACTCACACTACTACAATATGGCGGAGGGACGCGCGCGGGGAGATGGTGTGCAACGCGTGCGGTCTGTACTACAAGCTGCACGGAGTACCGCGACCTAGTGCTATGAGGAGGGACACTATACACACGAGACGCAGGCGGCCGAGACACGACGGGAAACATACTAGGAACAGTTAGTATAGTATAATGTAGTATACTAGTCAGTGGTGGCCTAGTGATTAAGAGGTTCGATCCTGGCAAGCACCAATGTGATTTTTCAAAGTCATATGTACTTTCTAAGACTATTTAGACATCACTGATTAAAGCATTCCCAAAAGAGGGTTGATGTCAGGAAGGCGGCCGGTCGTAAAAACAAATAGCCGAAACTATTCACAACATGTAAGGCAGACCCTGGCTATAGCTGGGAAATTGCCATGTAGAAGAAGAATGTAGTATACTAACAAAATATAGTATAATGTAAGAGTTAGTGTTGTATAATGATTGGTGACATGTTCTATGAGAGATGAAATTACTTGAACATACTATGAACGGTTATATAAAAAATTACTGTTACAAAGCATTTGCAAATTCAGCATCTGCAAATGATAAAGTTAATAAGTAATATAACTGAAAATTTTTGTGTATTATTCACTTGTATAGTGAACTTCAATTCAAATATGCAACTCAAACTTTCTATTAAAATCAAAAGTAAATGTAAATAATAAAAAAGAAAAGTAAAATTACTTGTAGATTGAACTTTTCTTTGTACTAGGTGAATCTATATTAATGTTTCTATTCATAAATACATACATTGTAAATATTCATACAGAATCTCGTCGGAGCGTTACCAGCGGTGAGGGAGGGGGGGCGGCGGTCAGTACTGACTCGGAGGTGTCCCGGGGCGCGGGAGGGGGAGGAGGGGGTGACGGCGCCGAGGAGGCCGTACTAGCAGCACTCAGGAGACAGCTACAGCCACACCTGCTGGCGGCACTACACGCACACACACCCAGGGAACACACGCACACACGTACACAGGTACTTATATGTATATATATGTGACGAAGAAGTATGTAGTGTTATACACTTGTAGGACTGTGATGATATCACTATACATAGATTAACAGATTTCATTGTAATCTATCTAATGTTAATACTTCCAATATTCTATACTTAGTATCTTGGGTTTTTTAAACGGTTTTATTTAGCTCACCCCGTTTGTTTTATTATATATAAATATCATATTCCTGGTTTATTTTACATAATAATATTTAAAGTAACGATCAGACATGGTTTATTTTACATATCAATATTTAAAGTAACAGTAGGCAGACCCTGGCTAAAGCTGGGAAATTGCCAGGAGGAAGAAGAAGATATTTAAAGTATGTAATGATAATTTTCTAATATAAGATCCCATATAATTTCCAGGGTCGCAGCGTGTCGGAGTATGATGAAGCGCCCCTCAACCTGGTAGCGAGTCACGTGGCCGCTGAGGAGACGCGCTGAACGCATCTCCCTTTAAGATCGTACCTCCATACAATAATTAAGGCCAGTCGGAAACAGATAGTATCGGCATTATATAACTAGTTAGTTTTAGTTTAACGATATATTGAAATATTTTTCTACAGCGACCTATCTTTGAATTCGAAGCAATAATGATATATAATTAAGCACTGTTATCTCGAGGTTAGTGTGAGGATCGGATCGGTTATGTAATATATTTACGTACTATAGTACTTAGGGCGGATTGTGACGTCACTCGTAGTGCCTATAGAATAGGTCTAATGGTACCAATACAAAGAGATTCGAAATATTTTTCCCTACATGTGATATATGCGATGAATTATGAATGTTGTGAAGAGTGTTTTTTTTTTTTGTATTTTTTTTTCGTCTTTATTGTTTTGACAGTTGACAGATTGACAGTTGATTGACAGCGGCTCGAATTTAATGTCAGACGAATTTGAGTTAAAACTTGCCTTAAATGCTCTCTCGGTTTTGATGAAATTATATTAACGGTTACCTATTGAAGGAAGCAAGTATTCATATAGGATTAGTTTAGTGTTAAGATATTGTAAATTTTTTTCTTTATAATTTACTTAGTTTTAAAGAAGCGTTAGTTTTTTTTTTAATTCGATAGTAATTTATTTCCCGTTTCGGTCAGTATTTAAATGTAAGTATTTTTTTTGTCATCCGCCTGTACGAGATGCGGATTTAATTGATATTTTTGGTGAATAGTAGCTGTATGTAGATCGAAATCTTCCGATGACACGTGATCTAACAAGTAGCATTTGCACACATTCATGATGCCGATACACTAGTTATATATATCGGTATTTATTATATAGTTTAGTTGTAATCGTTGGGAATATAACCAATATTGAATTCCATTAAGAAAGTATTTTTTTTTTGTTTTTTTCGGTAATACAAACGCGAACAACCAAATCGTCGTGGCATTATGTTGTATACCGGAGTCACCTCATTGTGGTCAGTGTTTTTTTTATGTAAATATATGTGTCGAAGACGAAAAGCATTTACAGCTCGTCTATCTGAAAGCTGTTTAGTTCTCAAACTTCTATTATAAAATCATTCGATCACCGTCCTTACTTAATCTCTACTTAATTTAGTATTAATTTATTTATTACGAATCCCCACGGGCCAGTAAAGCAGTCTATGAGACATTGTGATATCTTTAGCTAGACCAAGTTCATTTCTAAACGTGAACGCGACCTCGTCGGTCCGTTCGTAAACGTAATTCTGTTGCAGCTGATACATATTATTATAAAGTACCGTGTGATTATATTATATTTTTTAAAAGAAAGCTTTAAAAAATTGAGATTATTTATCCTTAATTATTGGGATCAGTGTATAGTGGACGTCAATGTTATATTTAACTGTATTGATCGCTCTCTTCGAACTAATGACAAACTCAGTTCTTGACAATAAACAATTTATGACTCGTACGTAGATCTTTGAATATATTTTATAAGCTCTCTATACAGCCAGCTCTCTAGTTGTTCAAATGTTCGTTTTATTTTTTACACCATACATGTGAACATTGTGAATGTTCGCGTATGACTCGTATGTTATCAGTGATGACGTCAAGTGTGTAGTGATGCGCTGTTCAATGTTCATATCGACGTATCAGCAACACTATCACTTGCGGTAGTGATACAGTATTATTATTATTTTTTTTCATTATTATTATTATTCTGTACATTTGTTAGTGGTAACTATATTTTTTTTTAGTTTTACATAGTTGATATTCAACTCCGGTTTAGTAATTGGTATCTCCCGTGAACCTCATAGAATATGATATTTATATATGATAATGCGATTCGAAAAAATTGATTATGTATTTGTATTTAGTCGTTCAGGCAGCTGCTGACATTACATTTATTTATTACAATAAGTTTAGTTGTACGGATAATGGTATTATATTAAAATGAACAATTTGTATCGTGTTTACTAACAAGCCGGTTGTGTTGTGTGCTCATCTAACAAGCATGTGTTTGAGACTTTGGTTTTATTTTTATAGTCTATGACAGACGGACCGATTTTGTTCTATGATTTATGCTGAACTGTCTTTTAACAATTCTGCTATAAGACTGAAGGTCGCTCTGATGATGTCTTCTAAATTACTCTAACATCTATCTGCCTCCGGAGATGTTTTTAATGTGTATTATTTTTTTTATCATGTGATACGTTATATGTGTGTTTCCGAGAAGCAATAATATTGTGATAACTTGATGTGAGCAGTTGTATGTAACTAAAGCTGATTTTTGCTAAAATTATTTAATGTGAATGAATGTCAATTAAAATACTCGTTCTAGTATAAAGTAACAAGTGACGGCTGTTTTCATTCATAACCCTTTGGACATCAAACGGCTATGTTGTGAGTTTTCTTCTAGTAAATATTTCCATTTATATGAGAGTTGGTGATTTTGTATGTAATCTTCAATGTATTCAGTACTAATAGTAATGTACCCTCACATAAGATATGGACCATTAAATTTGTTGTTTATTATATGTGACGTACCTTAAGTTTGTAAGCTTCAGCATAAATTATCCAAAAGTGATGCGAGACACGTCTATTGTATGTTGTATAGATGATAAATAATGTGACTTACGCAGGGATGGATACTTAAATTATTAAATTTTAACTGATATATTGGCTATGTAGTGAGTAGAATATTTTTTTACAAATAAAATATAGCAGCTATAACATAATTTGTTTTATTTTTTGTCATCCTAACTTTTGTTTCTATAGATTTAAAAATAAATGAAACAATTTAAATTTATTTTAATGTCTATTTTATTAAATCTAAGTGATAGAAATTATAGCTCGTTTCTTGGCCCGTGCGATTGTCGCACGTTTGTCACGCGACTTGCGTGCGACAGTCGCGTCGCGGAACAGCTGCTCCCCCGCCGAGGACTCCGCCTCGCGACGGACCCACTGGAGGGCGTGCAGGTTAAAACCGACCATGTCCTGTAAACATATTACATAAAAACAATAACAAAATTGTTTAAATCATGTTACACAAGCATAACCAGATATTAAGTTTACGGTATAACAATAGTATGTATAAAGTACGGAATGCTGACTCTGAGCCATCGGTGGGAATGCAAAATGGGATTTAATATATAACTCAGTCTAGAGTCAATCGTAGACTTGGAGACACCTTTTACAAGAGACAAGTAGTTAGATTTAAGTCTATAATTGTTAAATCTATACTAATATTATAAAGCTGAAGAGTTTGTTTGTTTGTTTGAAAGCGCTAATCTCCGAAACTACTGGTTCGAATTGAATAATTTTTTTGTGTTGGATAGTCCAGTTATCGAGGAAGGCTGTGGGCTATATAACATCACGCTACGACCAATAGGAGCAAAGATATAGTGGTAAATGTGTAAAAAACGGGAGAAATTATTTCATCTTTGAAGCCTTCCGTTGCTTGCGCCGTGAAAACGGTTCAAGATACACAAAAAATATGTATTAAAGAATAATAGCTCTTTTAATGATCTAAAAAACAGTCCGCGATAGTATACGTCTATCTTTTAAGATTAACTCACAAAAACCGTTTTTATGGTACCTAATTTGGTAGAATTAATTTGTTTAAGTTGGATCAACATAATAATATTAATCTTTATTCAAATAAACAAATAAATATGTTGTTGGTTAAGAGAACTTCATTGTGAATTAAAAAAACATAGGTTTTATCTACGGGAACTCGACCATTCCGAAAACCCCGCAAGAACGGGAACTATGTGGGAAGAACCAAAAATCTGCCGGAAGTCACTATTCCACGCGGACGAAGCCGCGGCAAAAGCTAGTTGAATATATTTTATAAGTAAAACAGATTTTTCTTGCATCCTTCGCTGTCACCAAACGTAATTATCATAAGAAGAATGTACTAAATTTATATAGGAAAAAAATATTAATTTTTACATCTTATTCATTTATACAAAAAACATAATAAAATCTGTAATGATTCGAATTAAATTGTAATTAATAAGTAAAATAATGATCTAAACAACTAACCCGTATCTCATTAACTCTCATGGCAGCTCGCGCCTGTATCTGTATGAGGTGTTTGAGGAGCGCCGGCTGTTGTAGTGATGGCGTCACTCGCAGTAGGAACAGCGCGGTCCGACAGACCGGCTCCGACCAGCCGCGGTCTAACAGACCGGCGAGACGAGGAACGAGTGACGTTGACGCGCTCAGGGGAAGTAATAGGAGAGCTTCCTCTAGTTCACTGTGGTTATAATATATTTATTAAAATATGGTCAGACCATGGAACTATGAATTGTCAGACGTGGCCAGATACTAGTTAAAAATAAAAAATGTGCATATGTATATGTGAGAGATAAATAACTTAAAATATAATTTTATCCAGATATTTATATGAATAGATATAGTTTTTGGTTGAAGTTTTTAAATACCTCGCTCGTATCCTACATATAGTCTCTAGTAGGAAGTCTTCGGAGTTGTTACAGTTATAAGCGGCCATCAGTACGGGCGGCGCCACAGGTTGTCCCCTCGCCTCCACCACTAACTGATCATACTCCGCACACACTGACAGACACTCTACTATAGAATCAGCCTGTAAACATAGTTATGGAGTTGAAAAAAACAACGAAATTCTTCTTACTAAATGTTGTCTTTGTAATAATTTTAATCTTTATATTTTTTTCGTTTATTAGTATACAATGATGTCACTTTACTACCATCGCCAATGTATTAAATCAAAATATCTGACATTGAAGAAATGATTATGCTTAAAAACATTATTCCAAAAGTATGCGAAGCTTGCGAAATCCAAATCCCTACTAATATTATAAATGCGAAAGTAACTCTGTCTGTCTGTCTGTCTGTTACGCTTTCACACCTAAACCACTGAACAGATTTTAATGAAATTTAGTACAGAGAAAGAGTTGACCTTGAGAAAGAACATAGGATAGTTTTTATCCCAGACTTTTGAAAGGTTCTCATGGAAACGCCATATAACCGAACTCCCCGCGAAGCTGCGGGCTGAAAGCTAGTTCAATATAATCTACATTCTACAATATAACGTGCTTGTCAGACAGAATGTGTGTTAACTGTTACTTACAGCTTTTTCAGCTCCAATCGTCTTCTTTGTTGGCATAACAAGTCCTGGCAGTCCCGGGACGGGGGCCTGATAAGAAAATATTGAAATGTAATATATATAAAAGAAAATATAAAACTAGTTTTCGTAAATTAATAATTATAACGCAGGTATTTTGTTCTTGGTGACTTATAACTTAAAACTATGTCAGAATATCGTTTCTAAAAATAATGTCTCAATTATATAATCTTCAAAATTTCTGATACATCAAACTGTTTAAACTCGTGGATATCTGCTAAATATATCAAATGGATAATTAATTCTAAATGGATATTTAGTATTCGAGGTACAATTTCAGACTTAATTTTTAGAGTTCAGAGTTACTCCCCGTAATTTTTTACAAATGGCTGAAGCCGGTACTTATAGTTTTCAAATACAAGTTGATACCTGTATGTTGACATTACAAAATTACAATAGTTCAGTATTATAATTAATTATTATCAGTCAAAAAAATAAATCTAAGGATTATTATTTTATCCCAGACTTTTGAAAGGTTCTCTTGGAAACGCGATATAACCGAACTCCACGCTGGCGAAGCTGCGGGCGGAAAGCTAGTACTATATAAGTACTAACATGTTGTTCTCCCGTAGCAAGTCCTTCTTCGTTCTCATCCTGGTCTCCCAATACAAGGGGCTCCTCTGAGCGTGTGTACAGTCTTAGGGCTCCGTCCCCGCCACAAGACACCACGTGTAGGCCTCCGCCCCCCACACATAAATTCAGACATTCGCCAGCGTGACCCTGGTATTAAAAACAGAATATACGTATGAGGTTTAATAAATAAGAAATTAAAGCAGAAAATCAGATCACAGATACAAAGTTTTTTATTTTTTTTTAAGTTTTATTTTTAATTTAGGCAAAGTTTTAATTAAAGTTAGTATGTATGTATGAATTTAAGTCATATCGAGCCAGAAGCCAGCCAAACTTGAAGAAACCTGGACTTATAATATCAAATTATAAGTTTGAAATCACCAACCCGTCTTGAGCAAGTGTGGTGATTAATTCTATATATCAGTATAATATCAGTGTTATTTTCAATATACTCACATTCAAAGTGATGATATTATCATATGAATCTCCGTCCCACTGCTTGACCTTCCCGTCCTTGGAGCTTGTGAAGAAGTAATGTGTCCCGGGAACGAACCCCACGCCCGTTATAGAGTCGTTGTGAGCGAAGATCGACTTGTGACAGTCACCGAAGTCTAAACCCCAAATTTTAACATTCCTATCAGCTGAACCTGTGGCTATGATATTGCAGTCCGAACTTATATCCATAGACAACACCGGTAGTTTATGGCCGTATAGAGAGATGTAGAACTGAAATAAAAAGGTATTATCTTCATATATATAATTCTTCTGTGAGTGTGTATGTCACTGAACTGAACTTTGTCCTCTGGACAATGTTTTTTTTAATTAATTTTTAATTTATTAGTAGTTGTTGATACAAGCGGTTTTTTTTGACATGAGATTTGACAACTAACTAATATGTTAATCATTCTGTCGCACTTCAAAACACGGAGATTTATGGCTTTAATAGGTAAACTCCAAAAATATAAATAAAAAAAGTAACAGATATTTCTTGATTATAGGGCGATACGAAGTTCGCCGGGTCTTCTAGTATTGTATAAAGATATACCTTAAAAGTGTCGTAAAAGAATATCCTAACAGTTGAATCTAGTAAGGCCACCGCTATGAATTTGTTGTTCTGACTGATCCGCACAGCAGTCACTTGTTCTTCTAGCTCTAAAGTGCGAGTGTGTAGCAGTGAAAGGACCTGGGAATTATACGATTTCGTTATTTTAAACTTGAAAGAAGGATCTAAAAACATCACTCGTGAGCGAATGAAATGAATGAATGAATTCATTACCTTTGCTTTCGAGTCTCCAGAAGGATCGGGGATGAGTTCAAACTGCCATAACTTCACTGTTTTGTCACTCCCGCCGGAATAACAGCCGCGCTAGAATAAGCTAATATTACATATCAAAGACATTTTTTAATGTATATATTTTGACAAATATTATGTACATTCAGATCTTAAGTGATATTCTTATTCGAAACTTAGTGAATATGTTTTTATTACAGTGCATGCTGAGTTAGCCTGTAATTGTAGTGTACTTTGTAGCTACATATTGTAAAACTTTTAATGTTAAAAACTTTAGATCATTATACATTATGTTGGCTTAATATGAAATAAATAAATAAATATGATTGTATATATTGACCAACAAGGGATTTTTATTGAAAATTTTTACTATAATTATTACGATAACTATTTAGTTTACCAGATCCGGCGTGAGTCCCACACAGCTACACCCCCCTTCATGAGCCGGAATAGTCTCCATGACGTTAGCGGCCGCTACATCCAACAGTAGTAAGGATCCGTCGGAACACGACACGAGCGCGTGACGGTCACCGGGCGCGAAACACGAACTGGTGGGGCGGGATGATAGAGGGATGGTGCGGAGACAGGCTTGGCTGGTCCTGGGGAGGAAATGATGAAGAATCTCATAGATATAGACTCATAGACATAGACTCATACATAGACTCTTTGGTGAGGGGCCGTTCAAGTATTACGTAAGCAGATTTATTACAAATATTTACCCCCCCATCCCCCTTGCCAGCAAAAGTAAGCAAAGCTTTTACCCCCTCCCCCATGCTTACGTAAACATTTTCAATTACTGTATTGTTTTTTTTTTTAATATAAATCTAGAAAAATATTATAATTATATTTTTTATGGATCTTCTCCATGTGACGATTAAAAAGTAAATAACTACCGATGACGTGATCATCATCTAGACTCCCCTACCCCCCATGTCATCCAAAATAAGCAAAGTAAAGATCCCCCGACCCTCCATAGTGCTTACGTACCTAATACTTGAACGGCTCTGATTAGTGGTCGAGGGTAATACCAAATGTTAGATAAAAGGAAATATGTACGGGATTCTGTTGTCAAATAATTAAATGAATCCCGATGGTATGAGTTGATTTTCATCGAAAGGAAATATAAGTGGGATTCATTATAACATTTCGACTCTAAACTCAAGCATTGTACCCACAGAATACATTTAATGCACAAAAGGGAAAAACCGAATTCCTGCAATGTATATGGATATATATAGGTGCGTGCGTGCGTGCATGTGTGTGTGTGTGTGTGCGTGTAATAAATCTTTATTGACATTATTTTTACCTGTTCCATAGTTTAACAGAGTCCGCAGAGGCTGATAGCACAGCGAGGTTGTCAGAAGACAAAGACACGCAGCGAACCTCACGACGATGACCAGACAACATGATCTGCTTCAAACATGTCACTGGGAACAATTTATATGATGATAAAAAAAACGGTAGCTCTTATTAAATAGTGCCAGATGGTATACTAAATCTAAATGGAGTTGTTTTAGTTATAGGCTATACAATGATCCCTTTTTTGTGAATGGAATGCAACAGAGCTTGTGGAAAATGTGAATGCCTGACATATAGACACATTGACATTGTGAGGGAAGAGGGAAAGTGTGGTCAGAATTAAATTTCAAATTATAACGGACTTACTTACCGACGATGAATTAAGAAATTAGTTTGAATAGACCAATATTATCATTTTACTACAGTTACAATTTTAATGTTAATACACATATTACATTACTTATTCGGGTAAAACAAAAATTATTTCACATACAAATAAGATATAAATTTAAATATATCCGTTATACAGGGTGACTGGTGAATTACTATCAATATTTGAGGACGTGATATTTGACGATCATATATGACAAAATAAAAATTAATATAACATAAATATTAATAAACTTCTAAGTAAAGTTAACCAAAAGTTATGTAATTAATTACGCATCGTGTGAACACCCTACAGATTAGGTATACACTGACACTCACACATACGCATGTCGTGACGTGGTGTTGTATCAACACGTCGCCGCACGCGTCCACACTTGAACACTTGGAACGTGTCAACACTTTACTTATTTATACGGAAATTTTGTCAAAAATTAAGTGCCTATTTTTTTTACATAATTCGAATGAGAATCATGTACCGAGTATGCTCCTCAAATATTGATAGTAATTCACCAGTCACCCTGTATATGTTTATATATTACATAGTAGCTCACCTTCATTCCCGTCTTCAAGCGTCAGACTGTGTAGTTCAACACTGTTAGTAGCTAGTGTGACTCCCACACGTAGTTCTCCCGACGTACCCAGTAACAAGGCCGCGGACTTCAACTTAGCTGATAGTTTGATCGAACTCAGTCTACGGACCTCGTCGGAGAGTGTTAGTAACTCACTGACTTCGGCCACTTCCATATCGACTTCACCGCTTTCTTTCAGTTTGCTAATTAATAATAAAATTTTAATTTAAACAACAAAAGATAAATATAAATCGCAAATTTTAAGAATATATAGATAAATATGAAGCAACGAAAATAATTCCGATTTTTAAAATGTATTAAAATTATGAGGTACCTCGAAATATTCGATAACAATTCAGCATTACAAAAAAAAGAAAAATATAATATTGATCCTAAATTAATCAATTTCAATTCAAAATAAAAAACATCGATATAAATCACTCCAATAAATCCAGATTTCAAAAAAGTCTGCCAAACACAATTTCATATAAAATCAGCATTATAGATAGTAAAAGTATTAACATTTAACATACGTCATCTTCTTCCTCTGTCTCTTGACTCGTTTGCTCATCCTGGTCTTCGCTTCATCATCAGAACAGAACGCGAAGAGCTCCAACAATGAATCTGTTCCATAACAAGCGAGCACTGATTGACCCAAGTCAGTCACTAGTCCGACCACCCGGCCTCGCCCGCCGCGGATTAAAGTACCCACTTGATGACATTGAAGGATCTAAGAACAAAATACTGGTCTTATAATACATATATACATACTACTATTTCCATATAGAAGAAGTAACAAACATACACACACTTACAAACTTTCGCAATTATAATATTAGTAGGATATATCTAGGTTTTAATTTATGAAATTCTGTTTAGTTGACAATAAAGAGTGTAGACGATAGATGGCGCTGTATCAAAAGGTATATTTTAAAGACATTTTATTAAATACGCTCTAAACTCTGTTGATTCCTACGATGATTTGTAAAGAAAAATATTAAAATGAATATGTTTATAAACAGGCGTCGAAATGTTAATTAAAATGTATTATTGTTTATTCTTTCTTGTTTAACTATAATAACGAATTTTATAGCAACACGTAAACGTCCTTTTGTCCGAGAATTAATTATAGTTCCTTTTTTAACACGTAATTACTATTAAAAACCGTAATGAATATTACAATACACATTTACCGTAGGTCCTTTTTTCAAACGATTAAATATTATAATATTATTAAGCAGATATTGTGAATAAACTATCACTGTTATATTCTCTTAAAGACATTTTCCTAGATCTTAATAAGACCTACAAATCTACATTATTATGTTGTATTGTAAATAGTTTTTGAGGCGCACACCTAAATAGGTTTTCGGCTTTAGACCTTTTGTTACAAAGTGGCAATGTTTTTCTCTAATATTATTTTTTTGAAAATAAAATATAACTTAGAGCCTTCTTCAATAAATAGACCATCCAACACTGAAAGAAATTTTCAAATCGGACCAGTAGTTCCCGAGATTAGCGCGTTCAAACAAACAAATAAGATAATTACAATATGATACATATTTTCAATGTTTTAAGCTTACAGAACTGTCTTCAATATTATCTGTGTCTTCAATTTTAACAATCTCCAATTGCTGTGATATTTTATCTTCTTCTTTTATTTTCTCCTTCCAATTTAATTTCCATACCCTGAGCTCTTGGTCCATACTGCCTGTTACCAAGTAACGCTCTTCCTTCAATAATACTGCCGACCAAACCTTAAATTGATGCCATAATTTTCTATGATTAATATATCACCTTCATACAAGTTTATTTTACAATGTTATCATATAAAAAAATATATATTTAATATTTTTATAATAAGTACAATATTTCATACAAAATTTATGATAAATTTGACCCAGTATTTTATTATAAAATATACATATAAGTAATTTTTACCTCCATTTGATGTCCACCCAGTGTTTTAAAGCAATGTTTTGTTTCAATGTCCCAGAATTTAACAAATGTGTCCTTTGAAGAGCTGATGATGCAATTCTTTCCATTAATGAACATTACACTAGTTATTGCTCCCTTGTGTCCACTGAATCTGGCCACACCAGTTTCAGAAACTACATCCCAGAGAATCACTTCAGTGTCCTGAAACATATATTATTCATTTAAAAATATCTTCTCTTATTGACCTCAAGATAATAATGTTTATTTTCTTATATGTACTACTCTACATTAAATAATTATTTATGTTTTTTGTCTCTTTTATTGTTGTTAGCTAAAATTTATGCACATGTTTACTTTATTAAAAGGATTTCTGATCCATAGCTCTACTAAAAGATATTTTCTCCTTTGCACATCTCAATTCTTTCATTATATTGTAATTTTTATTGTAAGTAATAAATAAATATTAGACGAAAATCTTAGGCAAAATTTTCTGTGTGCTTTATTATTCTAAAAATTTCACACTCCCAAAGTTTGGGTACTTTTCAGCAACTGTGGTCACAGGAAGACCTGATGTGAATTGGATTTAATTGGGTGTATATTGTTTTTCACAATAATAGAACATGCATAGTATAATCTGAAAAATATTGGTTTTGTTTAAATGAATACCTGAAAGTTGTAGATCTCATTATGTTCTCCAAAATTTCTCTAATATGTGGTAAGAAAAATTATATTGTAGATGAAATTGATTCTTACCTTTGATCCAGATACTAGCCTGGTTCCTTGTTCATCATACTGGAGGCAAGTAACGGCAGACTTGTGCCCCGCAAACACACATACTATTTCATTGTTGGTCAACTCAAACACATTAATATTGCCATCCACATACCCAACAGCTATGTGGTTGCCGTTAGAGCTAGCTGCTATTTGGGACACCATTACATTCTCACCTGGTATCACCTGGGCCTAAATAATAAAGAAATATATTGTACTAAATACTTCACATAGAATATTTTAGTGCAATTTTTAAATTGTATTGCGAACAGCATCTCAAATAAATAGAGTATTGATTCTGATTTTCGTGAATTAATTCTTAGTAATGTCCTTATAGAAGTATGGTTAATAATGTAAGGAAAGTGAATAATGTAAATGAATTGTTTAAGACATGAATATTTAAACAATTGTCCATACCTTTTCTCCTAATCTCATGTCCCAAATAATAACATGTTCACATGCTCCCACTGCAATGTATCTTCCACTAACTCCATTTAAAGTCACATGAGTACTATTACAATCAGGACTAGCTATTACATTGAATGTACCACTAGGTACGTAGCGAAGATATTGTTTGGTCAAACCCATTTTACTTAATTGTAGCTATATTTTAACATATGCGTTAATATTGTTCAAAGTTTTCTAACCACTAAACAAAGTCACATCACATTGGTTTGTTATGACTTTTGAAATGCACAATGATGAGGCTGTCATATGTCACATGTGTTTTTAAAGAAAATGTCATATAATAAAATATTTATATAAATAAAACACTATAAAATATGATATTTTTCTCTCTTATTTTCATAACGAATTTAGAAAAAATATTATTAATTATGTTTTTATAAATAATAATAAAGGCATTTCTATAAATTATTATTATTTTTCAATATGTGCCCTCTATTTATTCGTTACAAAAATATATAATATAAAACTATAGCTATGTAATAACGCAACCGGTACAATAAAATAAATTACATCTATATCCACATTTATTTCGATATATTAAACTTAATCTGTGTAGTCTCAACTCTGTCGCAGGTCGTTTATTCATCAATCATCTGTGAGACGTGAGTTTATAGCTCATAGTGCGGTCTAGTTGTTAAATTTATATGAATCGTGTCTCTTCAATTTGTATGGGACTTATGCGTGTTTGCTTTAATCGCTAATATTTTGACAAACACACAAAAATAACCTCATCAATTTTAAATAATACACACAGGAGTAAATCAAGATTGCCATCAGGTTATTATGTTACTCAACAAAACCAGGTTTATTTGTTTTTCTTGTTGAACAGACGTGCCATCCCTTTAAATTAATTGAATCGGAGAAGGGCAAGGGAATGATAATGAATTGAATATTTGTTTCACAGATTGGTTGGCTTCACAAATAGCTCGCGAAAGTGCAATATGGAGAGCAATACCACGTCAGATGTAGTAATTTTAAGTGGCAATTCTCATCCAGAACTTGCTGACCTAATAGCGAAGTATATCTTTGAGTGGCGGTTAATTTTTTTGACCTCTGTATTGAATAATATTTTTATGAATCGATATGACGATATTATTTTTCAGTCGTCTGGGTGTACGTAAAGGGGGATGTTCAGTTTATCACAAGACAAACAGAGAAACGATGGTTGAAATTGCAGATTCAATCAGAGGGAAAAACATTTATATAGTTCAGACAGGAACAAAGTAAGATTGAAGCTGATATTAACGTAAAATAACCATAGTTTGATAATTAGAGTAAGGGAACTAATTATAAAGGGATGTGTTGACTGTGTCTAATAAAATAATTTTAAATGTCTAAAAATAAATATAATTAACTTAATAATTGAAACATTTTGTGTAGGACGATCTAATAAAATAAATTTTAATTATTATTAATAATACAGTTTAATTCATGAGATTAACTTATAATTTTTTTAAGGGATAAAAACAGGTTTGAATCCCAGACAGTAAGTGAGTTTTCTAGAGATGTTTGATTGTGATTTGTTTTATTTTAATATTTAAGAGTTAGTTTCAAAAATAGCTCATTATAAGTCCTCACTAATAAATAGATAACAGTTCAAAACTGCTTTAATATTTTTTAATATAAAAATTTCACTGAAGTGAAAGGATTAAATACTTTTTGCTTGATCAATGGCATTGTTAAATTCTCATTGAATAAACCATTGTTTTTATAGAATTACCTGTAAAATTTGAATAGACTATTAGTCAGCTTCATAAAGAATTGTATTGAACTCATTTTGATTATGTGTACTTATCAAGAACCCATCTCAACTCAACTCAGTCTTCCATGATCTTGGCACTAAATAACAATATTACAGTATTGTAATGTACCAATATATACATATTAATTTATATAGAATAGGATAGGAAGGATTAAAACCAAGTTAAACAGATTTTACTAATCTTTGCAACATGTTCATACAACATTTTTTCTGCATGATTTACTTGTGTGGGTTCATCCCTTGGCTTAACTTTTCTAAGTATTTCATCATCGCACTCAGCATGTGAATTAATTGCAGGGATGTTAACAACAATATCATGGAACTGTTGATAATGGCTTATGCTTGTAAGACCTCATCGGCAAGTTCAATAGTGGGGGTCATTCCATATTTGCCGTACAGCAAACAATGCAAAATGAGAAAACGTGGTTGCATCGTTACTAAACTACTGGCTAAAATGATGTGCAAGTCTGGTCTCTCACATATAATCACAATGGATTTACATCAAAAGGAAATACAAGGTTTCTTTGATTGTCCTGTCGACAATTTGAGGGCATCGCCTTTCCTATTACAGTACATACAAGAGAGTGTAAGTGTTCACTTAATAAATAAGCATTAAATCATCTAGTTTTAATATAATTTACAGGCACAATCCCTATATTTTTTTTCCCCTAAATATATAATATTAATATGTATTCTACAGATACCCGATTATCGCAACTCAGTGATAGTTGCAAGAAACCCTGGTTCGGCCAAAAAGGCGACTTCATACTCAGAACGTTTGAGACTTGCCATAGCAGTTATACACGGAGAACAGAAAGAAGCTGAGAGTGATGAGGTGGATGGACGGTACTCACCACCTTGTATGCCCAGGTAGATTATTATACAATATAAATAAATTATACTAAACATAGGCCATTAGTGTACACTAAAAATACTGTCATATTATGGAACAAAAGAATAAAATAAAAATATATTATGTCTATAGCAAAACATGTTCTGTAATATATCAGTGAGCAAAACATAAATATAATAGTTCTTGGAAGTAGGATAGACTTGAATTAAAAATACACTGAGTTCGGGTGCTACCTCCGCGGACGGGAGATCTCGTTCGTCGGGAGCGACGGTAGGTTGCATCGTCACGAGGTGCGCTGCGGTGTTCCGCAGGGGTCGGTCCTTGGGCCTCTCCTGTGGAACCTTGGGTACGATTTCGTGCTCCGCGGTGCCCTCCCAACCGGGCTGAGCGTCGTCTGCTATGCGGACGACACGCTCGTTGTAGCCCGAGGCGATGACCTAGCAGAGGCGAAGGCGCGTGCCGAGGCGGGAGCCGCCTTAGTAGTACGGCGCATCGAGATGCTCGGGCTGAGGGTGGGTCTCGACAAAACCGAGGCCCTCCTGTTCCACCGCCCTCGAGCAGGACCTCCGACGGGCGCCTGCATCACCATCCGCGGCGTCCGCGTCGAGCTCAGTCCCCCGGATGAAATATCTGGGGCTGACTCTGGACGGAAGGTGGAACTTCCGGGAGCACTTTCGCGGGTTAGTCCCGAAACTCCTCGGGACGGCGAATGCTCTCGGGAGGCTTCTCCCCAATCTCGGCGGTCCGAGTGTGGCATGCCGGCGTTTATACACCGGTGTGTTACGCTCAATGGCGCTGTACGGAGCTCCAGTGTGGGTCGGTGCCCTCACAAGGCCGAACGTGGCTGCGCTGCACAGAGTGCAGCGCGTCATGGCGGTGAGGGTGGTACGAGCATACCGCACTGTCTCTCATGAGGCGGCTTGCGTGCTGGCTGGGACGCCTCCCTGGGAACTGGATGCCCAGGTTCTGGCGGAGGTTTACCACCAGCGCGCGCGAGATCGATCCCGGGGAACGAGTCCGGACCGGGATCGGGTGGATAGTTGGCGACGATCTGCGCGGTCGTCCTTGTTCCATCGGTGGAGGCAAAGGCTCTCTGAGCCAGTGGCCGGGTTGCGAACCGTGGAGGCTATTCGCCCGCTCCTCATGGAGTGGGTGGACCGCCGACACGGATCCTTGACCTTCCGGCTGGTGCAGATCCTCTCGGGGCACGGTTGCTTCGGGAGGTATTTGTGCCATATAGTCGGGAGAGAGCCGACAGCGACGTGTCACCACTGCAGTCGCGTGGAAGACACCGCTGACCACACACTGATGGAATGTCCAGCGTGGATATCCGAGCGGAGCCAACTCATCCGCGTGGTTGGCGCAGACCTTTCGTTGCCGGCAGTGGTCCAGGCCATGGTCGGCAGCGAGAGGGCATGGCAGGCGGTGGCCGACTTCAGCGAGAGAGTCATCTTGCAGAAGGAGGCTGCTGAACGAGTGAGGGAAGACGACCCCTCCTCGGCGCCGCTGCGCCGACGAAGGCTGGGTCGAAGGCAGCGAGCTTATGCTCGCGACCTGCCTCCCCAGTGAGGAAGCCTCCGGGCGTCGGTGGGGAATCGGCGTCCGGGTAACATAGGCTAGAGGAAGAGCGGCGTGTTTGGCGTTCCCGGCACGCTGCTCTTGAGTCGGAGGGGTGGTGTGGTCAGCCACTGATACCCCTGCCGATGGCGGAGTCCCCTTTCGGGACTCGTGCGTAGTGAGCGGAAGTATGGCTTGCCGTTCCCGCTCACTAGTCTACGCACAGCGCAGAGAACGTCGAGGTGGTTTAGTGGGTGGAAATCCCACATGCCCCTGTCGCGTTTCCCCCGCGGCAGGAAGTCTTTAAAAGATTCCCCTCGTAGAAAAAAAAAAAAAAAAAAAAAAAAAAAAAAAAAAATACACTGAGAGAGTTTTTGAATTTACACTTCTATAAGAACTTTCTAGTTGGTGAATACGTGAATCGCGTGTAAATTAAGGGGTAGATGAGTTTGTGAAGGTAAAAATGGAAACGGAAATATGTTTTAAATATTATTATAAGGACTAAAAGAGACATCATAACACACATTTATTGTCTCTTTCTCTCAGCATCTCATGTTTATACATACAAATATATATATGACACGTCATAATATACAGGGTGACTGGTGAATTACTATCGATACTTGAGGACGTGATATTTGACGATCATATATGACAAAATAAACATTAATATAACATAAATATTAATAAACTTCTAAGTAAAGTTAACCAAAAGTTATGTAATTAATTACGCATCGTGTGAACACCCTACAGATTAGGTATACACACACACATACGCGTGCTGCGGCGTGGTGTTGTATCAGCACGCCGCCGCACGCGTCCACACTTGGAACGTGTCCACACTTTATTTATTTATACGGAAATTTTGTCAAAAATTAAGTACCTATTTTTTTTACATAATTCGAATGAGAATCATGTACCGAGTATTCTCCTTAAATATTGATAGTAATTCACCAGTCACCCTGTATATGTATATATACAATTACAAACATATTGATGAAACTAAAAAAGATTGGAGTGAAGTCATTTCACTTGTGCGATCTAAAGCACACTTATGATATTCGATATTATAATCCTTATCCAATGTATTGACAAAAAACACTTGTTCCAGTGTGGACAGATCTCGTACCATGGATGTCTCAGTAGGAGTTCCGGTGCACCCAGCCAAGGAAAAACCTCCAATAAATGTGGTCGGAGATGTTGGGGGTAGAATCGCTATCATGGTGGTATGTATACAAATTACAAGTATAATTAAATATTGATTTAAAAGTTGATAATATGTTTTAAATACTAACTGAATATTATTTAGGATGATATGATTGATGACGTCCAATCATTTGTGGCTGCCGCTGAAGTTTTAAAGGAATGTGGAGCTTACAAAATATATGTCCTCGCAACACATGGCTTACTGTCATCTGATGCTCCCCGATTGATTGAAGATTCTCCTATTGATGAAGTTGTAGTCACAAACACTGTTCCTCACGAGCTACAGAAGATGCAGTGTAACAAAATAAAAACAATCGACATATCAGTACTACTAAGCGAGGCCATTCGTCGTATACACAATAAGGAATCAATGTCCTATCTCTTCAAAAATGTTACATTGGAAGATTAAATCACTTTTATGTTTTGTTTTTACCATGTAAAGATAGTATTAAATATAGTATCATAAATAGTAAGTATTATTTTCTCAGTATATATGTATGTATTCATCAGTCTTTTTTTATTTTTGTTATGGCAATGTTTAGGTTTGTAAGAATCATGCACCACATATATCTGGTTGTCAAAGGAACAAATTAGTGGATATACCATGTAGGTAAAAGTTCGCATTACTTAATTTTTATATTAATTGTATTTAAGTAATATGCTCTCATAAGTGAATTACCACAATCCTTGTTAGACCACTATAACATTATATCTGCTTTGTGTTAATAAAGACTTAATTTTATTTGATTATTTAATCGATCTGCCGGCGACTGAGAAACTGTGATTTTGTATCTTGTGAATGATGTGATTCAAAATTATTAATGCCAAGTCCAAAGCTTTTATGATAAAAAAATGATTTAAAGTAACTTAATAGATAATGTATAAAAATTAGATTTAGATCTTGAATATATCATTGTTAAATATGTAAACGATTTCATTAAATATTTTTGTGGTCTATGGTTGTTTTGTTGTTTTACGTTCCATGCACTAACTTCTATAAAGATTTTCGTTTTATGTTTTAATTGTTATTACCATTTTAAAAATGAGTTTTGATATTAGCAAGACATTCGAACACAAAGCAGCACATTTAAATTAAATGTTGATTGTTCCCTAATATTTCTGATTTTCCATGAATAGATTTTATATGAAAGACATTTTATATTAGTTAATTAAATTAATGTCTTATTTAAGTATATTTCAATATACAGGGTGACTGGTGAATTACTATCAATATTTAAGGAGAATACTAGGTACATGATTCTCATTCGAATTGTGTAAAAAAAATAGGTACTTAATTTTTGACCAAATTTCCGTATAAATAAATAAAGTGTGGACACGTTCCAAGTGTGGACGCGTACGGCGGCGTGCTGATACAACACTACGCCGCCGCACGCGTATGTGTGTGTGTGTGTGTGTGTGTGTATACCTAATCTGTAGGGGTTCACACGATTCGTAATTAATTACATAACTTTTGGTTAACTTTACTTAGAAGTTTATTAATATTTATGTTATATTAATTTTTATTTTGTCATATATGATCGTCAAATATCACGTCCTCAAGTATCGATAGTAATTCACCAGTCACCCTGTATATTTGGATATAGATATTTGGACGGTAGAGGTAAGCGTTTAACGCGCGAGAAATAGAGGCCCCTAAACCTACTCCTCCGACACAAGTCCCAGGTACTGTCCCTGCTGTCCCTCCAACGCAATGGACTGCATCTGTAAGGTGAATCTATGAAATTCAGAGAAGTTTCTTCTCATAAATTATTTCAAGCAATTTACGTTACTATGACTGTTATGCAAATTTATTACATCAGACAAACTCTTAAAAATTTCAGGTATGGCTATTGAAATATGGATACCTGAAATCTAGACTTTGAATTGAAATTTCATCTATCCTGAGACCCAACTCAGGTTTCGGGCCCGGAGATCCACTGACGTTTAGTTTTTAATCTACCAAATTCAGGAGAAATGCAAAGTGTCACACGATGTGATGAGTCCAAAATAAAAAAAGTTATATTTATTAATAGATATGCTTCAAAGAACTCAACTACGTTTTAGTGGTATATTTCCTTAATGAAGAACATTGTATATTTAATATGGCATCACCAATATTTTTTTAAAGTATTGACATTGACTTCTATTATAACATTGAGTATCGACTGTCAAAACTCAAAACTGTTACTTGATACTCCTATGTTCAACTGATTTCGTAAATGACTAAAATTAATTTTAATTTTTCTTGAATATAATTAAGTTCAAATTATTGATATTTTATAATCGCCAATGTAAAATGTTATAAAAAGAAGTAGTTTTAATACTTAACCTATTAAATGAGTCAAGTGATTTGTTATAAAGTATTATTTTGTAACCTTATACGATGGCGATTTTAAGACAAATTGTACGGTTGTCTAATACCTACTTGTGGAGATGTAGTAAAAGGTACAGCAGTAGCGGTAGTAGGAATATTTTGAAACTGAGTGAAAGAGGGATGTACCAGGATATGTTCCCAAAAACAGCAGCGTAAGTCGTCAATCGAAATATTTTTGAAGTCTATCGAAAATTATAAAAAAAAATTGATTTTTAACAATCAACAAAGGTTTAAATTTCATATTATTTTAATTCTTTCAGTAATGAAATATTAGATATATTAAATGGGTCTCCACAATGTGTGTATGCGGGATTTGATCCAACTGCCAGAAGTCTGCATGTTGGAAATCTTTTAGTTATTATCAATCTCCTACACTGGCAGCGTGGTGGACACAATGTGATAGCCTTGGTTAGTTGTTATTTAAACATAATTCATATTTATAACTACATTCTAGTACTATACATTATTATGAAAACAATCTTTATTGTTTTTAATTACTTCGGAACTATATGTTGTTCGTAAATTACATAAAGGTAGGAGGAGCAACAGGGTTTATAGGAGATCCAAGCGGTAGAAGTACAGAGCGAACAGCATTACAAGAAGAGATTCTTAGGAAAAATCTAGCTGGTATTAAGAATAATCTAGAAACAGTGTTTGAGAACCATAAAAAGTATATTTGGACTGAAGATGAGAATAAGTTGAAACCTCCCACGTAAGTGATTGTTGTAGTATTTTATGAATCACTGAAACAATTTGATACTATTTTATTGGGATTTTGTTAATACTACAATTTATTGCTATTACTAAGTAAAAATATATTTATAATTTTCATTATATTAAATGATTTCTTTATTTATATCTGTAATTTATAATAAAAATGATGATCTGCTTCATATTGTGGAGATTATGTACTTCTCCTGTTTAGGTCATTCATTCAAACTTAATTACTAGAAAACCTTCTTACATACAATTGTTTTTATTACATATCCCATTTATATTTTGTTTCAGAATACTTAATAATGAAGAGTGGTACAGAAATATAGATTCAATTAAATTTGTCAGTGAAATTGGTAGACATTTTAGGATGGGTACAATGTTGTTGAAGCAAACGGTACAAAATAGAATAAATTCTGAAATAGGCATGAGCTTCACGGAGTTCTCATATCAAATATTCCAATCTTATGACTGGTTGCATTTATTAAACAAATATAATTGTAGATTTCAGGTAATATATTTTTTCATATTATTCTATAGTATATTAATGTTATGTGTTATTGAACATTTGAACTTAAAGCTTATGTAATAGATAGGTGGAAGCGATCAAATGGGTAACATAAGCGCAGGCCACGAACTCATCAGTAGAACAGCAAAGAAAAATGTTTATGGTTTGTTACATTAATTTTATATCAATTTATATACTTTCTGTGCATTCAAAATAATATTTTGTTCGAATATATTCCAGCAAACATTTAAAATTTTAGGTTTAACATTACCATTAATAACAACAGAGGAAGGTGACAAGTTTGGGAAGTCTGCGGGTAATGCAGTTTGGTTGGACGCAACCTTGACAAGCCCATATTCAATGTACCAATTTTTCATAAGAACGAAAGACAATGACGTCGAAAAATTATTGAAATTGCTCACATTTTATAGTTTAGGAGAAATTAAAGATATAATGTACAAACATACACAACATCCTGAACAGAGATACCCACAGCAGTGTCTGGCTGAGCAGTTAGTGACTTTAGTACATGGAGGTATTTATTATATATTACTATTAATTAAAGTATTTAATATAAAAAAAATACTTTTTACCATTTTCAACTTGAGTAAAATTGCTGTCTTTCTACTTCATACAATCTCACAAAGTTAACTTTTAAATATAGAACAACAAAAAAAAACATGAAATTAAAACCTCCTTTCTGAATTATGTTTAATTCTATTAATTTTTTATTTATTAAATATCTCACTTGTTACAGAGGAAGGTCTTGAAAGGGCAAGGAGGGCTACCGAGGCTATATTCAGTAAAGATGTCAAGTCATTAGTATCTCTTACATCCACTGAGTTGCAGCAAGTGTTTGAAGGAGCTTCAACTGTACACCTATTACTGTCACCTGGTATAACAGTACTGGAACTTGGAATGAAAGCCAAATGTTTCGCTACAGAGAGTGAGTTTATAGTTAATACAATATTCCTTTCATATATGTAACTCATTTTGATGATTTCTATATATATATAATATACATATATCGGGCCCCACGATACAGGTCCCCTAGTGTGGGGTCCAAAGATAATCGAAATTTTAAAATTTGCTGAAACCATAATGCACCTCAACCAATTTAAGTTTAAGTAGATTAATTCTTTCATTATATGTTGATCTATTACTGTGCAAGCATTGTGTTTTTTCAATAAAGTTTATTTATTATTATTATGTGAAAAACTTGGTTCACTTCAGTGTATAATTAATTAATTAAATATCAATGTTCATAATATGCTCGTAATTAGATAATGTATTTGCGCTTTTTGTAGGTGACGCTATGAGGATTATCCAAGCCGGGGGTTTTTATATAAATCATCAGAGAATCAAAAAGATTGATGAAGTCATCACTGAGTCCGCCCACATACTACCGAATCATACATCACTACTACGAGTCGGTAAACGGAATTACTACATCGTGAAGTGGCAAACTTAATGTCATATCAATAAAATAGGAAATAAAACTGTAGAATAATTTTCTGATGTATTTATTTTATAATTACTTACAACAGAAGCTTGTATACTTGCAGTATATAATTAATAAAATGCATATCACATAAAACGTCGTAAATACTACATAACATACATTAGCCTAGATTAATAATATTCACTTAAACAGCGTGGCCGATATAACTAATGCACTGTAAAATAGTAAATATTAAAAAATATGGCTACTAGTTATACGTTTGTGCACCCGCGACCGTTCCCACGGCTCGGCGTATGTAGCGAATCTCCCTAGTATCACAAGGATTTAATGCAACATAAACACTAACTTGTACAAAAATAATATATATATATATGTTATAATAAAGCACGATATATATGAACGCGTACAAAGCTAAATTGACTCGGATTGATATGTCCATGTGGAATAGCGATCGAAGGACGCGTGACGTACTCACCTCCTGTCATGATTATTCCGATTTGTCGATTCTATTATAAAAAATTGCTATATTAAAGTTACATTTAAAAAAATAATAAATAAAATCTGCAAAATCAATGTAAGACACTAATGTACTTATACCTCGTAAGCGATTTTGATAATTTATTGTTAAACATTAAATAGAGGGCGTCAGTCTTGCTCTAGCTCCCGGTCTAAATCGGATCGTAGTCTACAGAGGGGACTAGAGGTCGGTGCTCTCGTGCTGCGGCGCCGTCTGTGTGGTCTGTGCAGTCTGTGTGGTCTGTGCTGTGGGTGTAGTCTGTGCAGTCTGTGTTTGCTGTGCAGCCACAGGCGGCGGAGGTGCCGGCACTAGAGGTCGTGGCGGGCGGGAGGGCTGTGACCCTTGCGGCCGGACGGTCACGGCGCCGTCCGTGATGTTGCCTTCTGACTGTGACAGCTGCCTGCTGGCGCCCGTCAGTCCCTTAGGTTCGTCGAGTTCATCCTTCCCCCCGGAGCTGTGCGTCCTCTGCACGGTGCTCGAGGCCCGCTCGTCGTCTCCCCCCACCACTATGACGGCCGGCTGGTGTTTGTCCACAGTGTACAAGTGTGTCCTCTCCAACACGGCGGGCGGGTCACGCTCCTCCGTGAGGGAGGCTCGTTGTGAGCGGAAGCTCTGCGGCCTGAGCGCGGCGGGTCTCTCCGGCACGGCGGGCTTGTGTCGCAGCATCACGTCTGGCTCGGGGTCCACTGTGGCAGGTGGTAGCGTGCGGGGCGCGGGCTGTGGGCGCGGCGGCGGCGTCCCGCTCGCCTTGTGTACCGAGGCCCGCGCTGCCCCGAGTGACGCAGGTCCGTCCCCGATGACCTTCATCCGCGCCACGACCCCCGTCTGAGCCGTCACGTTCTTCACCACGAGCGTGTCCCTGTCGGTGCCCTTCAGCCCGGTGAACTTGTCCTTATCGAACTCGAAGCTCTGCCTCCTCGTGTCCGTGAGGTTCTCCCTGCTGCCGCTCCTCGCCGCCTCCTCCTTCATAGCTTTACTCTGTCTGTACGTGGACCTGTTGATCGTCTGTACTCCCGTTATAATCTTCCCCGTGTCAGACACCACCGGTCTCGGAGGCTTGGCGGGCTTCTCCGCTTCTTTAACGAGCGCGTTCTGTTCCTTGGCCACGTCCGAGGTCTGCGTCTGTGTTTCGACCTTCCTATTCTTATCCGGTGTAAAGTTCGGCGGGACGGGGGCCAGAGGCTTATTCTTTCGTCTCATGATAGGCTTGGGGCTGCCGTGCGGGGGACTAGATTGGTCGGAGAGGGAGCTGTTAGATTGAGCTTTCTTCATATCATTATCCAGTAGTATGAGACTAGTGTCGTGACTGTTACTCCGCGAGTGTCTCCCGGGGCCGTCCACAGTAGTCCTGCCTACGTTCTGGTGATTGTAATCGAACAGGGACTTGCTCATACTGTTGTAATCGCCATTTTGTTCCTGATTCAAAGCGACCGTCTGGTTGTATCCGTGGACGAAGTTGGTGGTAAAGCCGTACTGCTCGGCGCCGAAGTGATCCGGGAGGAGATCTTCTTTGGTGAAGGACACGAAAAAGTTGACATCGTCCTTGAAGAACCAGTCCGCGTGTTTAATGAGCAGCTCCACCCCGCAGTTGACGGCGGTCGTGATGTTCATATCAAACGTGTTCTCATCGGCGGCCCAGAGTAGGTTTGGTGCGATCACGATAGCCAAATTAGACGGCGTCATTTTGTTGGTGCTTTGATTTTGTGTCAAAGCGGACAAAAACTTAATGAGGTATCTCAGGTTGTTGAAATTCGCTTCGGGCAATAAATGAATGGCCTCCCAGAGAGCGTTGAGTCTAGCTTGTTCGGTCGGGTGTCTGGACGCCAGTATAAAGTTTTCATACAGTCGGTACGTCAACAACGGTTCTGGTAATTCTCTGAGGTATGATTTCAGTACCGAGGCGACAACATGCATATCTCTATAGTCACTCTTCAGTGGAACGTTAAAGAGACCAGCATCCAACGACAGCTTCATTCTTCTAACCTTTGATGTACCTACAAATATATTATAATTAAATCACCAATTGCTTGTACGATAGCAGAAAACTATTCAATTATAGCCACACAAAAGATATATCTAACAAGATTTTTCAAAACGATCTTATAAATATGTTTCAAAGACACATACATCTGTTATATCTGCTTTAGCAAATATGCCTGTATACTAACAAATATATCCAATTGAAAAGAGTTCATATTCCATTAAAAACATCTAAGTACTAATAAAGATAACAGTTATAGCATTTACGAGCCAATATGTTTGTTTATATGGGTATAGTGTGACGTCACTCACCTCCAGCTATCCTGAAGAGTCCCTCCTCATTGAGCGCCAGTTCGTGTAATGCGCACACGCACACCTCTATAGGGTACGCTATAGTACGACCAGTGACACGAAGATGTTCCTCCAATGGATAGCCGAACACCGGCTTCACTGAACTATCATCTGGGAAACAAATAAGGTTCATATTATACAAGTGTAACACAAGTCCAATATGCAGTTGAGCTATTATTTGCCATTTTATAGGGGATAGTACAAGTACACGTAACAAGGATTAGACAATTAAGCGTAGGTATCTACGGATATTATCCAATCAAAAATGTGCAGATGTATTAGAAGAAAATTGACAGATGAAAGTTTAAACTTAATAATTCTGGCTTTGAATGAGTTTTCAGGTCATTTTTTTCAGTGGATAATAAATTAAACTCATAAATAATTACACAATTTTGTACTATCCCACGCGATTTGGTTCTAAGAACCAGTTGGTTTCTAAGAACCATTTGAGATACATAGAATAATTAAATTGATGATGGTGTATCACGTATGTGATCAGTTTAAAGGTGTGATGCGTGTTAAGATGTAAAATTAACGTACTTAGGATTGAATGGGATCAAAGTTTGATCATATAAAATTAAGTAAATTAGCTATATCCGTATGTTATGATTTACTAATAAACTCGTTCGTACTTTGATTGATAGAGGAATTAAAACACTTATGGAATATTAAAAGGAACATGAAAAAGAGTTAAAGTAAAAAATTATGTCATAAACAATATTTCTAATTTCGTCTCGGACTAATACCTACTAAGAGCAATAATTTTATTTTAATAAAACATTTCATCTCGTCTGTTCGTGATCCCGGTTGCTGCAAAGTAACCGAGATATATGTACATACTATACTTCCAAGAGTATGTAGTTTTTTAAATATCTAGTGTAAAAAAACGTAGTATATCCGTTTATACATATTTGTTTTTAAATGATTACTCGCGAAAGTCTTAGTTATTTCAACATCAATATTACTATTTTAAATATTTTTGTTATAATTAAATCATAGTTCCGTTTCAATATCGTAACATACAGACCTCATGTTACGTCCAAAGATAACACATTATGGATTACGTATTATTATAATATATTTATATAACATACAACCATATCATCTACACTCATAATATAATCCATCAATAACATTATAATTGCACATTAGTCAATATTGTTTTAATCGATACTATCTTCGAATTAGTTGACGTACATCACTAGCTAGTCACCTGTTCAATAACATCAACATACCTTCTAATAATATACAAGTGTTTGTTTAAAATTATCGATAAGTACATATAATACAATAAAAAAAGTCTAGTTTTCATTCAAAGCAAAAAAAAAAATACGTACAGTACCTATAATGTCATTTATTAAAGAAAAGTTAGTTAATTTTGCTGTATTGTCAAGTGTTTGTTTAAAATTATCGATAAGTATTTATAATACTATAAAAAAAAGTCTAGTTTTCATTCAAAGCAAAAAAAAATACGTACAGTACCTATACAATGTCATTTAATATAGAAAATATAGTTATTTTGTCATATTTTCTTTTATATACTAATTATAAATGTAAGTAACATTAACCAGAGCATGTAAAAATTATGAAACAATGTCTGAGAATTCCATACATGTTGTTCAAGTGTGATGTAATTATGATGATGGTAACAGGAGACGAGTCTCACAAGACTAACGTTTGTTTAATTAAGAGCGACTTTAAACGACCGTTTACAATTAACAGAGTTTAGAAACAGACACACTATCTAGGGTCAGGAGGGATACAAGGAAAATGTTTATGATGTTGTTGTGAAGAAATTATAATATACTAGCTGACCCGCCAAACACATAATAATCCGGCCATCTAAAAAATAGGGGTTGGTGATAAAGGAGTAAAAATTTTGGGTTGCATGTATTTTTTAGTGCTACATTATCAAATAATAAAAACAAAAAATTTCGTCCCAAAAAAAAATTAAGGGTGAACAACCCTTATGACTTAGGGGTATGAAAAATAGATGTTGGCTGATTCTCAAACCTAATCAATATGCTCACAAAATTTCATCAAAATCAGTCCAGCCGTTTCGGAGGAGTTTTCTGTCTAACACGGCGACACGAGAATTTTATATGGAAGATATAATTAATTATTGTAGCAATTAATTGGTAGTTAATAGTTATTACTGATTTTTTATATGTATACTGTATAAAATAGCAACAAATTAACTAACAAAGAAAGGTCTCCACAAAGAGATTTAATAGGATACACACTAATAAAGATCAATTACTGAATGCTGGCTGAATAGATTAGTTCCATTGTCTTGTATCAATTATAAACATAACATTCATGTAACATGCACTCATAGGCTTTCTATCACATTGAATAGATTAAAATAATATTTGTCATCATATAGAATACAATTTACATAATAACATATAACATAAAATTTCTACCTATATCTGTCAATCAAAAGTGGTTTAAAATACTATATATTTAAGGTATATAATTGTATAACTTACTTATAAATCTCTCCAATTCTGGCACTGTGTCAGCTAATGAATGCAGCGCTGATTCATGGTATGCTCGTTGTAACTTTACATATTGCAGTAATGTATGTGCTAGTAATGCCTCTTTAGCGACTAAAGCAAACATATCCGCTGCCAGTAAGTCTCTTGCAGCCTCAACTTTGTTACCAGCTTCTTCCAATTCCTCTTTGGCCGCGCTTAATTTGGTCGGATTTTCTTCTTTTTGTTTCTCGAGGTGCTGGAAAGAGTCATATTTTAGTATTTACCATAATCACACTAGTATATTACTATTAAAATGCATGAATATATTTTCATATACAATTTAAAACAGAAGAATATTAAAATAGGTGCAGCAATGTGTCTTTTAACATACTGGGACACACACATATATATGGGTTATTTTCAATTTAACAGGGCATTATATAAAATTTCACGAATGACTTTGTATGTTTATTAGTTATGTATATTATAACTTCAAATCTATATATGAAACCTCATTTATATAATATATTCTATTATATAATATATCTATTATCTAACTATATTATATATTCAACAAAGTTTACTTTTGACCATTTTATTAATATTAATCATATGATTTTTAAATTGCGTAGTTAAAAAAACAAAAAGGATGTTATGATTGAAGTCTAATCACTGAATATATTAAAATAAAATGATGAAAATAGATATATTTTTAAATTAAAAGCTTAGCAGGAAAAGTTGCTCTGACTTGCTGATACTATTAACTTATTTGTATATTTTACTTATATAATACTTCACTTTTCTAAGTTTCTTTTGTTTATAAATATGTATATACTGTTTCATAAATTAGGAGAATATGTATAATCCATATAACAATTTCAGATATGTGATAGATATATTTAATTAATTTCAAACAAAGCAACATATTGAGACAGCAAACAAAATTTCTTTTATCAATCAATAACTAATTGAATATAGATAAAACATATTAAATACAAAAAAGTCCACCCTTGTTGTAAGAGTTAGCAAATGTTTAATTTGTTAAATATTATATATATGGAGATTAACTAATTGATGTTCAAAGTTTAATGACTCAAATTAGCATCATATAACAAAGGAGTTATAAAAATTGTTTATTAATTATTAAATGCTTTGTCAATATATGCCCTAATTGATATTAATTGATAATGCAAGCCATTTATATTTTTATATTATAGATAATGATATACTCACATTGTATCTGCTGGCTGCCGATTCTTTTTCACTTATGAGTCTGCTTAATTGTTTTTTAGCTTTCATTATGGCTGGAACATCCTGATCACTGATTGCTGTGAGCGGAGCACACACCAATTGCTCAACTTTAAGCTCATGCTCGGCTATTTCATTTGCAAGAAACTTTTCGGTTTTTCCTACATCAAATATATGAGTCTTAATGTAATTTTAATATATATGAATGTATTATAATACTAATATTTCAATAAGAACATACCACACTCGTATAGAATGTACTTCAAAATGCTGTCATCGTCATCATAGTTACTCGCCTCACACATAGATAGTCCTAAGAGATATTCCGGTAGTTTCTTTAGCCTTTTCTCCCTGGCCGCGGGATCTTGACCCTGTGTGTTTCCTGCTGCAGTCGCGAGTCTCTTGCTAATAAGTTGCAACGCATTCCGAAGATGTTCTACCTTTGTATCTGCTGTTTGTAACTCATCAGTCAACGCCTCTTCCTTACCAGACCTATTTAAGATATTTATCTTTTAGTAATTTATCTTAGATTATCAACATGTAAGAATACATGATATATTTATTAGATATATATTTATTACAACTTTTGTTTTAATATTGAAAATTTTTTTTTTAAGCTAAAAATTCTATAGAATCAAAAAATATCCTGTGGTACAAATTGTAGTGGAAGGATATTATTCTCATTTTATATCCTTATCGTTATGAAGAGAAATTCACAGAGATGTTACAAATCACGCTCTTATCTGATATATGATAACATATACGTACCTTGAAAAGGTTTGGTCCGCCAGTTGCTTAACTCTATAGAACTGTTTCTTCATCTTAATATAATTTCTATTAATTTATTTAGTGATACAAGGTCATTGGACTTGGTCAATAACAATAAAACGATCAGGATCTCTCGCCGAAAAGAACGCGACTAATGTCAGCGCGTCAATGAGATCATCTTCACGATGCGACACAACAAACACCACCAAACACCATAAACTACTGATTTTGAATAAGGCACTACATTTCAAAATTTACCTTAATTAATGAGTTTGCCGAATTAATCTAATTTTAACTATTATTGTGAAGAACAGAATAACTTAAGTTAGTACCCATGAATTAGAAAAATAAATCCACAGATTATCTATACTGTATTTAGATATATTATGATCTCAGAAATCAGCATATTATTCACAGATTCATAATAATATCTGTATTCTTAGAAGTTTACTATAAATTTTAATAAAATAAAAACGAAGTTATTTTATTGTAAGAAATATGCATAAAATAAAATAATACTTACTATTAATGGTAAATTACAATATTGATAAAAAATCATGACAGTGACATTTCTTTCTGACGGCTGGTACTCTAAGAATCTTAACATTTATTTATTTACATTTACGATATGATGACGGTACTTGTTCTTGCAAAACTAGATATTACGACGGTCAACATAAGAACGAAATCTTGCTAGTGGCGTAGAAATTTTCATCAATATAAGTGGAGGGAGTTTCGATATTTGGAGAATGGAACTAGAATATTGTTAACATTACAATAGCAAACGCCAAGCTTTAAACAGCGTTATTGATCGTTAAGAAAATCTTAAGAACAAACTAAAATATTGTAGTACGTTTAAATATATTTTATTATTTTTAGTGAAACATTCCTATTGTATTTCCTTTTTTAATTACTCAACATGGAGAGAAAATTTATTAATGTTATTCTACTCGGTTTTGGATTTATGTTTGTGTTTACTGCATTCCAAACTATGGGAAATATTGAGGTATGTATTTTTTTACTTATATTTATCAATTATCATTGTGAAAATTAAAAAAAAATTACCATCTAAGTTTTTAATTAATCTGTGTAAAAAAAATCCAATTAGAAACTCGAAATAAAAAAATATTAAAGTGATTTATAATATCCATAATTTTTTTTTAATTATGTATAATGCTCCGTGCCAATGCCAAGTTATAAACATGTATTACTTTCACACTTCAGTCTTCATGGAACATTAAATGCATATTGTTTGTACTCTATGTGTAAATACTTCATACAGAATAAGGTAGAGTTTGTATTGTTTTAAATTTTTGACAGTATATTAATTATTTTTTTTAACTCACCTTAATTAAAATAAGTCAAAAAATAGAGAAGTTCAAATTCAAACTCTTTAAAATTTTGAATAAGATAAATACCAATGTATTTGTAATTCTATTTTTCTAAATCTAAATGTAATTTTTTTATTATCAAAAGACATTTTTTTCTGCTTTTAATAAATAAAAATTATGCTAAATATATTTTGAACTTCTTACACATGAGTTGGTTTTAAAAAATATATTTTTTTGGAATATTGAAATATAATTGGTTTTATTATTTAAAAAATACATAATTTTTGTTACTCATATCGGTCAGAGTTTTACTTATACTACAAATTGATTGAAAAGGTATTTTAAACATAGTTTTATAAAAAAAATATTAAACAAATATGTAAGTGAAATCTTACAAATATAATTTGTTCTAATAAATATATTCTGATTCATATTATTTATTTATTTTCCACATACATAAATAATAACTAAGTTTTAAATTCTTTAATGGCTTTAATTTATCTTATGATCCATAATGTCAGATATATAATAATTTTTTCTTATAATATATAATGATTTATGAAAGAATTGAAGTTTTATCTAAATGAAGACAATTAACTATCTATTTTTATGAATTCTTTATTAATAGTCAATCTAGAATTTACTAGTTTTGAAGCTAACGGATTTTTAGTAGTGTCCTTAGTCCAAATTTTATTTCATTTCATACTATTTATAAAGGGTTTTGAATTTCTCATCCAATATTACATATAATATGTGTGAAGATTTAAATATGAAAAACCATTAATGCTTTAAATGTAAGGTGAATATGATAACTTCAACCAAGCATACTCATAGTTTTATATTGTATGTCAGTGTAACAATAAATTCTATGAATATAAACCATTATTTGTTTGCGATTAAAACTATTTTGTATCGAATTATTAATATTTCTATTATCGTAATTAAATTTGTCTACTTCTTTCCGATAACTTTATTTTGATACATTCAAAGTGGGCCAAAGACGATTTATTGAAATATTTTTCTCAGAGCCGACGAGTTATTGATATGCACATTATGTAATATAAATTGAGAATTTGAGATCATTGTCCGACATTTGTTATGTTTATGTAATGACGTTGATGTAACTGTGTTTAGTTATAGGTTATAGAAAAATTAGTATAGCAACACTATATAGATAAATCGTTAACATAATAGTATTACATAATGAGACCTAAGATTTTCGCGCGTATTCATTAATCATTTAAATGAAACTAATATTTTTCGGATGTATCTACTACGCGCTTTTTATTTTTGATTATAAACTACATACTCCCGACATCTCGTCTGCCAGTGATCACGGTTGCTGCAAAGTAGCCGAAACGTCGTCGGGAGTATGTAGATTTTGTTAGAAAATAAAAATCGCGTAGTCCATCCGAAAAATATTAGTTTTATTTAAATCATAGTACTATTCGTATTTCCTACACTACTGCGATAATTCTAAAAAATTGTCAAAAAAAGGTAACTGTTTGTGATAAATTATTGTACGTTTATAAGTTTAGTTTCGCACGACTTTCTAAATATCAAACAGATGAAAAGCCTTACTTAATAGAAATCCAATTCTTATGGTACGATTACGTGAAATGGATAAACGTGAAAGGAATTACACAAATCTGGCATATTTTATTTAAATTTAGTTATATATATTTGTATTTATAACTTCTTTCGAAAAGGATAAGGTCATTTAGATATTAAGATGTTTTCGTTTTCCGAAAGTGTTTTGCTTTCGCTAATATAATTATGCAAATTTCTATATTAATGTGTAACTTTGCATGGGTTTCCTTCCTTAATTCATTTTACAAAAATTGCGTAACGATTTATGAAATTAATTTTTTTTTTATATATATTGTTAAAAGTCCCGTAAAATTTATAAGAAAGTAAATTCGATGTGAGAGAATGAGACATAGTATTATAAAAGACAAAATCTTCTACACATAATAATATAGATTATTAATTTATATGTTATTAAAAAAATATAAGGTATTCTCTTTGATGTAATGGTTCTATATCCATAAACAATAATAGAATGTCAATATCACAGTTTTTCTTTTGCCTTTGTTATTCTATAGTTGATTGTTTTGAAAATATTAACCCCTTATACGATACTATCATTGCTTCTCTACAGACGATAAATTCAAGGATCGCAATTTAGGTCAAACCGATTTATTGAGCAGATACCGATTTTCAAGGGTATTTTTGTCAATAACATGTCATCTAGTGTTGACATTGTTATCAGGCGAATGTTACAATAATTGAGATGAGATATAGCAAAATTTTACATTGTTTTTCATTTTGCCTGATAAGGAAATTTAAGGATTCTTTATCAAGGTAACGGCCAGTGGAGGTCAGATATTATTATGACGTATAATTGGAGATAAATAAAATAATGATGATGCTTCTTAAAACAAAAATGAGTTACTAGTAATATAGAAATAATAGCATATCTATGTTTAAATATGTTTTGCGACCAATATTAAAATGTTAATATTGTAGGTGTGTATTTAAATATTTCCATAGATATGTCTATAATCATCTGCCGCCTTTTTAAATGTCACTTACCAGTGACACCGTAAACCTGTCTAAATAGTTCGCTCGCCAAGATCCTTGTTGTAACTTGTAAGATTACCAGTTTGGATTTAAGATAAATATGGTTTCTAATTTCTATAATAGGTCCGAATTTAATGTTAAAAATGTAATATTTTTTTAAAGCATATTTTTAATCGTTGTAAAATATTGAAAATGTCGTTGTGAAAGAGAAAAGTTTTTTTTATATATTTGAATCGATTGTATATAAATTAGAATATTAAACCTTATCTAGTTATAGGTACAGATGGAGGATTTTATACTTTTAACTTTTCCCTGACCGATTAAATAATTTGTTAATTAGACACATAAAGAGCGTTTTTGACATCCTAATATTGTTCGGAAAGTTATGAAAAACTCCAAGATTATACGATTTAATCACGGTTATAAATTCAAGTTTATTTGACAAGCTTCACTTAAAAATACCCATACGATAGAGTATCATAAAAGCAGTTCCTTAGAATTAAACTATGGCCATAAAATAAATCGTTCCTAAAATTTGTAGAAGCAAGAAATAAAAATACTTTTCTACTCAACCTATTTTCATTTGTCTTAAAAACATCAAAAAATATATATTAATAAAATTCAAAAGACCGTGTCTCTGGCATGCTTTGCTTTTTAATAGACCGAAATAGAATATTTCCATTTATAACTCTTTTTTTAATTTTAGAAATATAATAGACAGATTTTAGGTTTAAGTCATAAGATAGGTGTTTTTAGATTTTAAAACCAGCTCTTTATATAGCAGCTTGCGCATTTTAAGCTATTATTTAAGGACATTTTCGAATTTCGTGTAATAAAAACACCGCTTTCATAATCTTCCCCATAATACCATTTCCAAAAAAGTGTAAAGATTTAATTTGATAGAATGTAGGCGAAATGAATTGTTCTTCTGTTGGAGACTGTTGTTCCTTTAAGGGTTCCTCTATATGAAGTAATGCTCAAACCCAACTTAATAAACTTCGAGTTAAAACTTGGTTCTTGTTTTAAACACAGAACTCGTAATGAATATCAATTCAAATCATATACTTTTCTTGTATTATAACCATTCTAGATGTTTTGTTCGGAAATGACGATGTTTGTGGAAAATTTCCATTGAATCTGACCTGTCCAAATTTTAATAAAACTTCAATTTTATGATAAAATAAACTTTTCCTGTTTCCAAAATCTAACCTTCATTCAGCGAAATTATCAAACTACCTTCGTAAGTACGATGCAAAGCAGTAAACAAAAATCTGCATTGACAATGAAAGATTTAACAAAATGACATCTTTAAGTACATAAAAGCTAGTGTTTATTATACTTTTATATTTCATAACGGCAAGCCGAGGCCACTTGTCTTATCACTAAATTTGTTGATTGCCTTGTATCGATATTTTGTTATAAATGGGCATTACCCTTTTTTAGATGTCCGATTACGATTTTGGTAAGTCTATATTTTGTTGAATAAAAACAATATTTTGTACCGGTGTCAGAATACTCCCACGACTATTTTGTTTACGAAAAACAAATTTTTAAACCAGCATTTCCTTATATAGTATTGACTATTATAATAAGGCTATAAAATTAGTTACGAAAGAGATTATCCTAGATCATTGATTGCAAAAACTTATGACGGTGTATTTTTGCTAGCAAAAATTAAAATTTATTATGTTTTCAATTAAATTATTAAGTACTTTAGGCCCGTCAATTTTTTAACTATAACTCACGTGGTCTGTCTACATACTGTTTGCGTAACTAACAAGTACCTAGTAATAGGAAAACTATTAAATAGTTGATTCGTTTAAGGAAAACATAGTTGTGTAATTAAAAGCCTTCTATATTACACTCTGAACTGTAGCCGATCACCTCGTTCTGGTTTATCATCGACATAATTTCTAGATCTAACAGCCATATCTATTCATATGTTTATATTATTCAAATTCATTATAGAAACTTTGTTTTAACATATAACTATGGTATCAATTAACATTATGCAAACGCTCTAGTAGAGCAATATTATTAAGCAGAAAAAAATAGCCTATTTATTTGCTTCAAGTACCAACTAGGTTATAATCATTACTTCGTAAGTACATTATGATAGAAGCGTGTGTTCAATTTTCCTTTTTGGTTACAGAAAACGATATTGGACAGTATCAAACAGGATGATTCTTCGTTCACCGGTGATGGCTATACATCACTAGCTATCATCTACGCCACGTTGGCCATATGTAATTGGATGGCGCCATCTGTTATCACTATCACAGGACCAAGAGGCGCCATGCTTATAGGAGCTGTCACTTATTTGTAATTTTTTTTTAATTACTTATATATGCTTTGGACTCCAGCTGTCATTTCAGATGTTTTTTTTTTAATTTTTTGGTTAATTTCATATTTAAATTTAAATTATTTTTTATTAATAAGCATTCACTTGAACTATACATTCCTAATACATTAATGTTTATAGACTCATTATCATATAAGATAAGAACGGGGTCATCTGGAAAATGAAATATATTAATGGACGATTGACATTTAGACCGCTGAGGAATTTTAAAAGTAACCTTGGTTAGAGAAGTGATTTTAAAATCAAAATACATTATTACTATACAACAATAAGAATTATATTTCTAACAATATGTCCATTATAACCGTAATACAATAACAGTTTAGTAATTTTGTCGTCAATAAGTAATAAATATTTATAATATTGCACTCCACATACTCGTACTAACTCATTGGAATTAGCTAATATAAAAAGCGATAATAAAATTTCATATAGGAAGTTTATTATAATAAATTATTTATATAAATATTATTTGCAAGCGTTATCGTTGCTACATTTATCAGCGGCCAGCCAGGACGCGGATGTCGCAACTCTAGCGACTAGTCCGTTACGTAATAATGAAAGGCCTAACTAATTCTAACGCTGTTTTACGACACCATAAACAATTTACCTTATACAGGAAATTACATAGAGTACGGACATTTCACTTTTACTGTATAAATTAATAATTTTCATTTATATAACCAAGATATTATATGTAGATGTTATAAGTAAATAAGCTATAATATAATTCTATTTTAAATATAAGAAACAATAGAATATATTATTGACATTGCTAACAGTAGCTTTCACTGTTTGTTCTTAATATCAAATGTTCGAGTATTGCACGGTTTATGCTGCGTAGTTAATAGTGGTTAGCAAGAATGTTTTGTTCTTACATCACTTCGAATGAAACTTAACTTGAAAGTTTTAATGCATTTTCAAAGGTGATAATACTTTATAATAAGAAAAGTCGTACGTTAAAATTACATAATAATAAAATAAATAAATACCTGGTTGAATATCAAACATATTTTGGAAATCGATTTTAAATCGATTTATATAACGATTATTCTTTCGTTATAAAACATTTGTAAAGTATGTTGAGATCTGACCTATAAGCTATAAACATTATATTTTGTGAATCGATAATACAAATTGAACGATCAATGGGTCATTAATCTTTTATACATCACTGATTTATTAATTATAAAGTGATGTAGAAATCATAACAGGCAATATTTTTTCATTAAGAAAATAAATTATATTATGCGTCTTATTTTAATAATTATAGTCTTGTTAGACGTGCACGCGACTCCTTTCAAGATTAATCTTGTTTATTATGTCAGCTTTCTTTTGCATGTTCGGTTTTTCATTCGGGAGAAATGAGGAAAAATTATCAACTAGTTGAATTAATAAAAACTAAGAAATAACAACGATAGAAAAAAATACATATACGCTTTTACAGTCTTCTTTTATTTATTTATGCTATGACTTTATAGTATTAAATATTTTTGATTTGAAACAAACGTCAAAATGTCATCAGTTGCATTGGCGGGAATGGGATACACTATTCGTATGTGTCAGTAATTTTCAAGAAGTATTGAAAACAGTGAATTATTTGTTATTTAGTGTGTTATATATTTATAATTGAAAAAATCAAACATAGCTTAGGCGATGAAAGGCCCACAGTACGAGCGATAGGGGAACCGTTATTCAGAAGACGAGGTACGCATAATAATTACGTTTGACGAATTCTAACTCACGGTAGATTGTGCTCATGGCATTTCACATTTTGTTTAAATTTGATTTTGTATCAAAAATATTTAAACAATACATATTGTACCATTAAAAGTATGTTTTATATCCATTCATAAATTATTCATACTGCTAAAAACTTGGTTGTATTAATTGTTACGAAAACCAAATTATTTTTATGAAAAACATTGAACCGCTACCTCCATAAGTGCAATGACCTCTTAAATGCTAAGTGTAATGATAAAATATAAATATTTTTTATATTGTTGAAAAAGTACCTAAATATTTTATATTCATCTAAAAGATTTATGTCTGGATACACAGTAATTCGTAAGTCAATTATGGTATTTATTTCGTATCGTTCTGTAGCTATTCTCTATTGATTATAGAATTATCTGATTTCTTAAAAATAATAATTAATATATAAATAAATTTATCTCTCCGCAATAAGGTTAATACTCTTTAAAAAACTTTAAAACACGTTTCGTATTAAATGTTCAATCTATAAAAATAACTACAGTAAGAGCCTTATAATAGAATTTCGTAAACGCTTGTTCCAATCTATATTTTATTACTATTTAGTATACTTATTACCTTCACTAAGTTTAAATTGAATCAAGGCGAGCAACTTTTGACACGCCCATAGCCGCTACGTCACTTACGATGTAATAAAATAAATGAAGTATGCACAGCTTAAAAGACCTTGCGAGTTTAATGTACAGACGTGGTCTGGCCAAATACCTATGTAGGAAGAAAGATCGAATTTACTATGGTTCGATATTCAAATATTAAATGCTTTGTATAACCATGAAGGTTATATATAATTTGTATATTTCTTAATTTAACTTAGAAACTATTTTTGCACGCTAGGTATTGTTCTGTCGGAAGTGTACAATTTACCTGATCACAGAACAGTTTTCCCTAACAGAAGACCTTTAAATCCCTTATTACTAATATAATCAATTTCTTAAGGAAAAATCGATACGCTTTACCTTGCTTCAAGTACTTATGCACTTTAGGTAATTACGATATAGAGAATAAATGAATCGAGTGTTTGCTCTTGATATTTAATAAGTTTGTTTTTGTCACTCGAAAACTAGTTACAATTATTTTTATTTGCGTCTTACGAGGTTGATAAAGAAAAAATAAAAGCACTCTGTATACATCAACACAAAGCATTTTTCATTATTTTTGTATTCAGCCAGTATTAAAAAAAAATAAAGTAAATTTAAAAAAAGAACTGTTGTCTATATATTCTGTAATTAATATCTTATTGTTTATATCGTCCAGGTTCTTCATAGTGACGTTCCTTTTCCCGCGCACATGGCTGCTCTACGTCGCGAGTGTTTTGATAGGGGCGGGCGCAGCGGCCATATGGACCGGCCAAGGGAACTATCTTACTCTGAACAGCGATGGGGAGACTATATCGAGGAATTCTGGAGTCTTCTGGGCTATGCTGCAATGCAGGTACGGAGTATTTAGAATAAGATGGCCTTTATTATACGTGACTGAAGTTTTTCATACTATAGGGTACATAGCATCCGTATATAAGAAAATATATGCAACTTGATTTATCATCTTTTTATTTTTATTTTTTTACAGACTGTAGCTATAAGGGCCAGTTGCTCTCTATATTTGATCAGTTTAGTAGCATAAATTTAATTATTTCTTTAAAATAGAATACGTCTTAGTTATCTATCTCTATCAATTTCTAAATTTCTGTTTTATACCACAGATTATAATCCATACTTCATTATAATTGCAAAATAATACAACAGACTATATATTGTGTTTACCACAGACTATAAAAATGTCAACAATATCTTAGATATGTTGAGACAAAGAAAATCATTATGTTCAAAGACGCGTAGCGTTTTATATATTATAAATCACATGTCTATTTCAATAGACGACATGTTTAATTCATAAGATGGAGATTCATTGTTTTGTTTACATAGAAAGGCGTCTTATACCTTCAATTTTATATTTGACCGACGACACATAAGGGTGTATGTAATTCTCTCTTGATATAGAAAAAACATATTAATTATGATGGAAATGAGTTTTTATATGAGCAAAATCATGAGAGTTTTTAAAACGTTTTAATATATGTAAGCTCAAAGACAAACTTATCTGTTGTATTCAAACAATAAAACTAATATTTTCGGATACCTATACTAAGCGTTTTTTATTATTTTAACTACATACTTACATAGTTTCGACTCTATTACTTTACAACAACCGTGATCACTTGCAGATGAAATTAAAACTTTAATTTTCATCTGCACAGTACCCAAAATGTCTTTATTACATAGTTAAAGTAATAAAAAACGCCTAGTGAAATCCTTAACATAAGTTTCATTTAAATGAATATCCCAATAACTCCGAATCTCAGTATTATTCATGCCTATCCGCCTATCAGACGCCCACTGCTAAGCAAGGCCTCTTCTCACATGGAGAAGGTTTGAGCATTAATCACTACGCTTGCTCAAGACGGGTTGGTGATTTCAAACTTATAATTGTGAAACTATAAGTCCAGGTTTCCTCACGATGTTTTCCTTCACCGTAGTATTAAGTATTATCCATACTAATTACTTATTATTAATACATGAATATTTCCTTTCAGTTTATTCTTCGGTAACCTGTTCGTGTTCATAAAGTTCCAAGGCAAGTCCCACATCGATCTCCACACACGTAACGTAGTGTTCGGAGTATTGACTGCTGTATGCGCGCTGGGTATAATCTTCCTGATGATGCTGCGACCTACTAGAAGAAATATTGATGATGTAAAGGTGATCTTATAAACTTAGAGCTTCATCAAAATCATCCTATCAGAGCTCACTGCTGACAAAAAGTCGGTTTTCACTTACCATTGGTACATCTCAAACTGAACACAGCGTTTACTGTATTATAGTTATACTAGCTGCGCCCCGCAGTGTTACCCGCGGATTTCCGGGATGTAAAGTAGCCTATGTGTTATCCCTGGACGTCAACTTCCTGTATACAAAATTTGATCAAAATCGGTTCAGCCGTTTGAGCGTGAAGAAGTAACAAACATACACACACACTCACAAACTTTCGCAATTATAATATTAGTGGGATATGTACATTGATAATATCATAAATGAAAATTAATAAGAAATTGGAAAAGATTAATAACTTGTTTGAGAATAGAAACTTATAAGTTTAAAATACAACTTCAAACGATATTTATAGTAAGAGATATTTTTTTTATTACTCGTAATACAAGGCTTTGCGAATGAGAATAGTTAAAATAAATTATATACTTATTGACACAAAATATACGATAGTCATTAAAAACAAATTCGCTGATAAAAATCGTAAATAGTATGAATAAATAAATATAACTATAGTTGTTTACAATGAGAATTTCATTGTTATCATGTTTATACGTGAAGCGGTAGTTTAGTCAGAATGTGTAAAAGAATTCCAATAATATATAAACGTAGAATTCAACAATTACGATGTTTTCATAGATAAGTGTAAAAACATAATATAAATTACATTAAAATAATTACAATAGACATAACACACACTATCATGATTTTGACTCACACACACACACACACTTACATACAATGCATACATTCGAAAAGACTTATCTATGTGTGGGTAAATGTCTAATATAATGACATTTCTATTGCATTGAACTTGAAATAATAATTAAACATAGTAACTTAAATAAAAAAAATGGTCAAATATCGAAATTTTCAAATTAATTCTAAATATTAAATATATATATGAATAATAATGAAATCGTTTCAAAGTACGTCGTCTGTCTTCGTATATTGCGGATTTTTCTTAACAATATACAGGAAGTAAACAACTGTCCGTGACATATATAATATGTTTTATCACACTGTTTATCGTATGTGAGAAATACTCACGAGCTGTTTACGACTCGCGACTTTGCTCGCATCATATACTGCTTATATAATTTAATTTTTTTTGAATTAAATTGTCTTTGAAATATCTATTTCACATATCCACTAAAATATCCTGAACTAACAGTTTTATGAATTATAATCACTTGTATTAGAATTTAGAAGTTTCATAAGAAACGGACAGACAAAAAAAATATTACATACATCAATGAAAACAATTATACGTCGTTTGTTTTTATTCCAAGAAATTATATTTATCTATCTAGTATAGATATTAAGCATGAATACAAAAAAATTTTTATCATATAAAAAATCTAACCAAACACATCACTTTCAAATTAGAATTTAAGGTCGAAGCCTTCGCTTAAATAATAATCTGGGAAGAAAAAGAATCAACACATAAAAATTTACATCAAAAACATACGTCAGATTTAAGCATCATATGAAATCAAAAAATAAAATCAGTAAAGAAATTTGCTTGAACTCAACTTCCGACAGACATCGAGGGTCAAATAATAAGGACGCTATAATGACCCTATTTATAACATTTACGATATTTATACCTCTATAAGACCGGGTCAAGGGACGGCACATGTATGTGTGAATTATTATAATACATATTTTATACTATGTGTTCAGATTGAAGTGTTACTATTGATTATGATTGAAATATCCCTATTATAACTGATATCTGATTTAAGTCAATATTCATCTCGATAGGATGAGTGTTATACGAAATATATTCAAAGTGACGACTATATGTTATGGATCAAGTGTTAAATTGGTCGTTTTGACTGGGCTGTATGGAAAATTTGATAATAATTATTCATATACATGGTCAAATTGACTGGCTGTTATATAGAATGTCCATTACTTTTAGGACAGATTCAAACATTTTATTAGGTACGTTAAGCTTAGAAGTTTGGATATAAATTAATCACTTTGTTAATAATGCCCGAATTCATCACTTGGTCTACAACATATGTATATAGTTTAAATTCTAAGTTATTAACCAGTATTAAATGGCCCATAGACTTTTTTAAGATTTTATTTCAAAATTATACTTATAATATATAGAAATGTATTATGTAATGTTTATTTTCGTGTATCAGAATGAGATGACCTTAAAGGAGGAAGGTCCGATGGAGGCGTTCCGCGGAGCTATCAGACTGTTCTGTACCGGCGACATGATGTTACTGAGCGCGGCATTTATATACACAGGTCACTATATAAATACTACATATATATTATTATTATAGTCTATAAAACTTTACAAGAAGTTCCAGATTTATATGTATACATAAACAAACGCACATATATATGTATACATAAAATAAACTGAATAATTCAAAATTATTAACGTATACTACATATAGTAAACTGACTGCTCGTGTCTATAAATAGTTTGATTTATGCAATATTAAAAAATATTTTTTATTCCTAAAATGACCAGAATAATCACCGAGCTTGTATAAAGTTATGTTTTAATTTTCTTATACTATATTAGTTCTAAAATCTGGTAATTTTCCTTTATATTCCAGGTGTGGAGCTATCATTCTTCAGCGGTGTATACAGTCCAAGTATCGGCTTCACCCTCGCTATGGGTGAGAACGCCAAGCAACTGGTTGGACTGTCAGGAGTATTCATAGGACTTGGAGAGGTTCTAGGTACGAAAAACATAACACACGAATATATTATTTCTTTGAAACATAAAATTCAACAAAAAGTACACACACACACACACACACACACAAGCAGATCTGTGTAAAATAAAATGTGACCACTTGATATAACTTTGTTCGTGATATTTCTGCCCTCGTTTGTCAAGTAACTTTCGATTATATTTGAGAGGTGCTCTACAAATGTATTGTTTGTTAATAGTTCTAAACATATTATCTTTATCTGATGACCTATAAAGTGTTTAACGTCTTGCGTCAGGATCGCGTTAAAATATCAGATATATTTGAAATGTTATTGCATTAAACAAAATAATTTGATAAATCGATTTGAAGGTCTTTCATATAGTGCTTTGAATTAGCGCAGAAGAAATTTTAAATTTTTTGTCATCCATATTTTTAAAACAAATTCAATTAAAATAAAAAATATCATTTTTTTTAATTTACACAAAACAATAGCCTTTAATAATAGCCTTTACACAAAACATTATGCCAATGTCCCGAGCATAGATAACAATATACTTAACCTTTTGTAGAGACCAACATTTAAATGGATGTAAATTAAAAATACAAACAATAAAAAAAATTGTGCATCTAAATAATGAGATTTAAGATTTTCGTGAGTATTTATTTAAATAAGTATACCAATTACTATTTTCGGATTTACTACTCGTATTTTTTAACTATTCCGACGTTTCGGTTACTTTGCAGTAACCGTGATCATTGGCAGACAATATGAGAATGTCTGTCCGTTGGGCTTGTTATTTATCATATAATTAATTTTTTAATTATTTTAATATCATAAAACTTGTTTAAAATTGTTAACAACTTTAAATCCAGTACCAAAGCATATATTTCTTTCTGCATACAATATAATAAATAAATACCATATTGTGATAAATTTCTGCAAAATAACCGAAAAAATTATTATAAAGTATAAACGCTAGTAACACCATATAATTTTCGTTTTCTTTCAATGTATCTAAATAATATATATGTATATTTATAGGAGGAGCATTATTCGGTATCCTGGGCAGTAAAACGACTCGCTGGGGTCGCGACCCCATCGTCATAATGGGTTACCTCATCCACATGACGAGTTTCTTCCTCATTTTCATCAACCTGCCCAACCTGGCGCCATTCGGGGACACAACAGACACTTCATACATCACTCCCTCGCCGTACCTCGCGATGCTTTGCAGTTTCCTCCTAGGTTTTGGAGATGCGTGCTACAACACACAGATATACTCCATCCTTGGTGGGAAATACGCTGATAATAGTACATCCGCCTTCGCTCTGTTTAAATTCACACAGGTATTATATTTGTGATTATTTTTATTAATTAAGATGAGAATGATATCTATGACTAGCCATGGTTTTACACTGGCGCAATTCTGATACTAAATACGCTACAGAAAAACTTTCAACTTTATTTTAAAAACATAGCGACCCGGTCGGGTTTGCAAAGTTTATAATGTAAATTATATGCTGTAATGGGCCATATAGATCTATATTAAATCTAAAATAAATTTAAGATTATTAATTGCATATAATAAGGATTAATGTTGCATTGGTTAAAATCTTTTTGAAAATGAGCTATTGTTTGTAGTAAAAAGTAAATGACAAAAAATGGTATTGTGAGTTAAGAGTTACACTATCGCGGAGTTTTATGTAGATCTTTTCAACGTCTACCATACATTATTTTGATCAATCTCGTAGGGTTTAGCCTGCGTTTGCCATATTAATGGAAAAAAATAATTATATACGACCCCACATTGAAACCTCGAAAAACACAGAATTTCTCCGCTATTTAATGGATCCTATCATTACGTATAAACCTTCCTATTTATTCATTCTATGTATTAAAAAAACCGCATCAAAATCCGTTGCCTAGTTTTAAAGATCTAAACATACATACAGGGATATACATATATAGAGAAAGCTACTTTGTTTTATACTGTGTAATGATGATATACAGGGTGACTGGTGAATTACTATCGATATTTGAGGACGTGATATTTGACGATCATATATGACGAAATAAAAATTAATATAACATAAATATTAATAAACTTCTAAGTAAAGTTAACCAAAAGTTATGTAATTAATTACGCATCGTATGAACACCCTACAGATTACTCTACACTACACACTCACACATACGCGTGCGGCGGCGTGTTGTTGTATCAGCACGCCGCCGCACGCGTCCACACTAGGAACACTTGGAACATGTACACACTTTATTTATTTATACGGAAATTTGGTCAAAAATTAAGTACCTATTTTTTTTTTACATAATTCGAATGAGAATCATGTACCGAGTATGCTTCTTAAATATTGATAGTAATTCACCAGTCACCCTGTATATTAATAAATTTAATTCATCCAACAGTCACTCGCCGCCGCTGCCTGCTTCTTCTATTCATCCCGGGCTCCGCTATCAGTTCAACTAGGAGTCCTAGCGGTAATAGGAACAGCTGGTACAGCGGCTTTCTGTCGCGTGGAGTGGGCAGCGCGCTCCGTAGCACGTGCGGCCGCTCGGGCTGCCCTCGCGCCACTGGCGCCCGGAGAGAAACCCGCATCCAGGGAGGTCGAGGACTCGCTACACTATGACTGAGTGGTGGGGGGTGTGACGTCATCGCTTTAAGTCATACAAATGTTTAAAACATCGACTACTAACGGACATGCCGTACGTGTATAATCTGCAGTAATTTTTTGGTTTGAAGAGTGAGAGAGATGGCCTATCCTTTCGGTCTAGCACTCTCCATCCTCATAGATGATTGGCGCTCAGTCAGTACGGTACTATTTTGAGAGAGATAAAGATAGACCGAAACTTCGTTTCATCTCTTTCTTTCGGAGTTCCACAATTCTCATTTCTAAGGCATGTCCATTAGTATAAGTCGATGGTTTAAAACTACACAGTAGTGTAATGGAACGTGATGACGTCACAAATTTCAAATAATTCGACTTTACTTGCCTTGTGTTAAGTAAAATTTGTATTAAGGCTCTATTCTAACAAATCCAATATCTTGGACGCACAATTTATTTTGAATTAAAGCTCAATTTTCCGTTACTGAAACATTCCAAAGCATTCCATATAAGCATATACAATTAATAAATTCTTCAACTTCAGAATTGTTGTCTGAGGTAGCATCAAACATTTAGCGAATAGATAATCCCAGTAAGTTGATATTTGTATTGCATATAAAAATATCCTATAATTTGAATCAATTGTATGTGAGTGTTTTTTTATTATTATTCATCTTTAAAAAAGGATAATACTGACATTATACAGAAGGTTTTCAATGTAATTTCATGAAACTTGAAATATTTGTTTAATACAAAAACATTTTACATTCCAACATATCATTCCATAGAACTATAAACAATATAAAACTTAATTGTATAAAAGAGTAACAAATATATATTTTTATAATAATATAAAGAAAATTGAAAGAATGTGGCTGGATGAGGTTCGAATTTACTAGTATTATTGAAGCGAGGAGTCCTTAAGTATAATAAATTAATTTTTATATTAACAAATACGTATTAGATTACTAGATTTTACATATTACCGCTGTAGATATTTGTTTTGCAACATCTTGTAAAGATTATTAATAACAAACGAATTTGTAAAGAAGTTTAATATTTTTTTAACTGTACATTTATGTTAAGATCGAAAATCACTTAAAATATTTTATATCTTGATTTGTAATTAGTGTAAAAAAAATTACTAGATATAATTAATTAATGTTTAAGAATAACACTAATATTTATTAAATGTAGATTGATTTGGAAGTTACTACTGTTACTGTATATATGTTATAGAAAATGACTATTTATATTACTATTGTTTTTCTTTATACAAGTTTAATGTAGTATCAATACCTAACATTCCTTTTACTTATAAGAATATTTCAACATGTATATCTATTTATTAAAACCCTGTACATATTGTAAGATGAGAAAAATGTTACTTATACTTTTTAAGCTTTGAGAAATTTAAATTTTGCAATATTATCTAGTCAGTGTATTCTTTTTTGTTATTCATTTGATAACCTGACAGAGGGCTGTTAAAATGAGTAAAAACATCACATACGCCTGAAATTATATATTTTATTCATAAAATTTGTTATATGTATTTGAAACTTAATAAAGAAATATATATCTAACTTCTAATACTTAAGGAAATTTAAATAAATCAACATTTAACTAGTTTTGTTTTCATTGTCTTGCGGTTCCCCGAGTTTGAAGTCTAGTGGTTTGTCATATCCCATGATCTTAGCATAGTACAGGGGGTCGGAAAAATGTCTGGCTTCAATGAATAAGGGTTTCCCTTTAGCTACCATGGTGGTGAACATTCCAGGGATGTCTGGTACTACAACATCATCAGTCTTGAAATGATGCTGGAATTAGAAAATTAAACTGTTACATAACACATGTAAAATCTTCTTCCTGGCAATTTTCCAGCTTTAGCCAGGACCTGCCTTACATGAAAATAGGCTTGGCTAATTGTTTTTACGACCAGCCACCTGCCTGACATCAACCCTTTTTGGGAATAACACATGTAAAATAACTGAATACAATTGCTTGAATATGAAGGATAAGTGTATGGAATTGTTTTAATGATATAATTAACATTTTTAATAAGATAATTATTTTTTAGTATGCAGTTTCAGCTCACAGAATTTAGATTTAGTATGTTGTATATATGAAGTTACAGAGGTACAAAGAACTTTAGAAAGTTAATATTATACGTAAAGAATCCAGAAATACTTACGTAAACTGGTGCTATGAAGAAATTTAATGTTGTAGCCCTGTATGTATCTGTTTCAGGGTTATAGTGCATTTCTGTTACATACTTCTTAGTTATAAAATGTAGTAATATTGGCGTTACAAACGTAAAGAAGCCAACAACGGAGCATAGCGCTACTATTAATGAAGTGCTTCCAATGGATGAGGATTCCCTAATTATAATAGGTTGTGCAGCTAAGCCGGCGGCGCTGGATGATACAGAAAATATCTTAACAGCTCGGATCTGTGGTGTCAGAGGACCATAGTATATTCGTTCCAATTTTTCTTCTTCTTTTTGTTTGCTAGCAAAATGCCTAACCAAGTTACGATGGCTTAAATTTGTTATTTTAGTATTTGAAAAAACATCATGAACGAAAGCCTTATTTATCAGGCATTTTCCATGTGAAAATAGGAAATTTCTTTGGCTCAACCGAATCATTTTATAATAAAGCTATTAAATCCTGTTTATTAATTTTAAAGATCTGAGGTTACATATCACTTTGTGACAATTCGTGACAGTGACAATTTCAGTCTGTAACTAAAGACATTTATGAATATGGCTATAAAAACATAGTTATTGCTAGGTATTTAACATCATAGTTATCTATGACTACATTTGTTATAAATATTGTTTTTATTTCTTAAAAAGTTCGTTAACAATGAGCAAATATATTTTAATCATTAAATTCAGGTTCAAAAGAATACTCTAATAATTTTAAAAACAAACTTCTAACATTTTTAAATAGTTTTATCCTATCTACTTTGACGCAAAAAGTGGGGTACAAGTATCATATGAACGTCAATATTTAAGCAAAACATCTACTTTCCTTTATGGATGCTATTTATTATTGCAGAATTTACCGTTACCCGAGATTTCTCCTATTTGAAAAAGAAGGAATACCTAATATAAAACTGAAATATAAAATAAATATAAAGCTGTGTTTAAAGAAGTGACAATTTGATTTACAATAATCTAGAAATATTTTAAATAAAATTTACTCTATAAATCACTAGGTTTGTTTACAATGTTATTAGATTTCTGTTAGATCTAAAATTTAGAAAAGAGGTCGGATTGTTAAAGCAACGAAGTGTAAATGTTTATTTTATGGACGAAATTATTGTGACATCTTTTTAATAGTTTGTTGAACGTTTTCAAATCATGGAGGTCATAAAGACAGAGTATTTTTAAAGTTCTATAGCAACAACTGTTAAATATTAGTTAATATTTTCTGAATTTCTAAGGTTTACATTCTTTTGTAATTTTTTGGTTTATTTTCTCGATTGGAACTTTCGTGTCCAAACTTTCCGATATGTAATTGATTTATGTATACATATATTATATAGTTTTGCCAAAAGAATAAGTCGCATACATAAAAGCCGATTGGTGAAAAATTAATTCAAATTCTTTTACATTTCATGTTTCATTGGACAATTATCGACTTCGTAACAGAAGCCCGTCTCAGTGTCCATGACTGTCGTTCCAGGACAGTCACATCTAGAAAACCCACAAACTGTTCCTACAAGAGTTATTTCGGGGTCCTTGCAAGTTCTTTGCGCTAGCCAATAAGATTGGTTGCAATTGCTCTCTGTTATTACTAAATTATCTGGACATTTCTCAACACCTGAAATAAAAAATGGAGTACAATCAAGTTTTGCCCACAGATATAACAAAGTTGAATTGTTAATTTAAATACCCTGAAAGTAGAAATTCAAGGACTTAAATAGAATATATGTTTTGTTAGTGATTTTGCGGCGGTAGTGCCGTCCAAAAAGTTACTAACGAACTACCTGATCCAGCGAAACTAGTAGATATATTTATTAAATAGGTAAGTGATAGGTTATAGGATAGGTTATAGGAGTGTTTTTGGTCTTTAGACATAAAAATATTGGAAGTCGAAAGAACACGACTTTAAAATTTTAATAAAATGATACCGTGTTTTTGTAGCATTATGTTTTATTATTATCCCGTGGCTTCATACACATTTACTAATTTAACCATACCTATTTAGAAAGATAGATACATAAGTGTATAAGTTGATAATAAAATCTTAACTTAACAATAATATGTAGACATTTTATTGTGTAAACATATTTTGTTGTCATGTTTCGTCGTTGACAGATAAAAATGAGGTCTTAATAATAATTCCTTGGTATCTATATTTTGTTAATTTATAAAATAAATTGGATATAATAGGGAGACTTACATGAATCTATATGCCAAAGACATGTAGACGTCGTCGATTCCGTATACGGCAATGGATAAACTATATACAGCGGTAACATGACCAATGCGAACACAAACATCCTCTGTATTTTAGTGATCGGATTAAAACCGACTGAGTAAGTATCATCTTATATACTGAGTCCAATCGCTATCAATAGTGATTTGTACTAGATATTATGATTTAAATGCCAAAGACAATGCTATTGTCTAATATTTTAAATAAATATACAAGCGTTCTATCTTCATGCGTCATAAACGTCATGATTTCCTATTCAGTACCTGTGGAGATTTTTATAAAAGACGGGAATCATTAAATTGCATTGTGTTGTTCCTGATTCCTTAAGGGTCAAATAAACTCATATTTATGTAAAATTTTCAAACGAAGAAAATGTTAAGGTAAGAATTTTTTGTATGGTTGACATATAATGTCAATTTACATTACCTAGGTACCACTGAAAATGGTTAAAACAAAAACACCTTATTGTAGAAAGTTGCTATTACTTTTGCCGTTTTTCGAAGTAATCTCCGTTCCTCGCAAAACATCGCTGCATTCGACGGAACAACTGAGAAAAGCAGTGGGCCCATTCTTCCTAACGGGTCTCTTCTATGGCATTTTTCACACTTTCATCTTCAGGGCTCGTAAGGTGTATCCCTCAAATTTATCGTCAATTACTGGGAATAATAAACTTTTTATAAACATTGGCTATCCCAAAATACCCTTAAAAATCCCGCATAAGATATCATAACAGTTATTATAAGTGTGTACCTAATGTGTTGTATGAAGTTACTTGAAACAAACGATAGATGTCGCTACCAGTTGATTAAAATATTTATTTAAGCAAACTTTTTTTTTTTGCTCCATGAATCCAATTCCAAAGAATACGAGTACGAAGTCGCAACCAATATCTAGTCTACCAATATTTAAATTGTCATTGGCTAATGGCTTTATAAGTCTAGCTTATCTCAAAAAACTTCGTTTTGCAAATCTGACCTCAATCTATTAATGATGTTTACAAAAGAAACTACGAAACATTGTATGTTATTTCAACTGATTTATTTTTGAATAAGGTTGTTGGACAAAAGTCACAATGATCTTATAAGAAATTAGCACCAAAATATTTGATATTTGATTCGTAGTGATCAAACATTTTTAATTGAACTGTTAATATTTTATTTGTAAATTGTGTTAACTAGCTTAGTTACTATTTTTTTTAATCCATGGCTACATATCTTTGAACTAACTGAATTAATTAATTTATGTGCACTTTTTTTACGTTAATTTTTGGTGGATTACCAGCATCTGATTACGGTTTGAACACTATTTATTAAAATGACGTAATACAATAAAACTAATACATATTTTGAACTCGTATTTTTACTATTTTATACTAAATACTGCCAAAGTTTCGGTTACTTTGCAGCAAACATGATCACTCGCGAAAGTATCAGATCTCATTAAATAATTAGTTATGTAATCTTATTATATTACGATTTTTATCTTTAGATAATTTTAAGATGTCTGGCGTATTTGTCTCGTTTAATTTTCTGTTCTTTATCGTTCCAGTGTTCAAGTCGACCTACAATTTATATTTCTATACATCGATTGGTTTATACATATATTTTGCAATATTAAACGTTACACTCAGGGTCACACCGTTAGTTTTGAATTTTTGATTATTATAATATTTTAAAATTTAATTATTTTCAATAATGACCCAGTTTTGAATACTATTTTTGTAAATCAATTTCATTATTAATTGTGAATTTGATGTTTTTGAGTGGATCCACCCTTTTTGTTGATCATTGAACACAAATATAAATATTTAACGATGTCATAAGATCTTGACAATGTATAAAGGGGCCTTTAATTAACTCCACGTTATTTAAATGTTAAATCAAATCACCACTTAATTGAGTTTTAGTCCGAGAGGCGTCCAGGGATCTGCACTCAAATTAAAAAAGAACTTCTCTTTAATTCCCTGCATTCTGTTTGAAGAAACATATAATCAAAATATGTCTTTATGTATCACAAAATATAAAAGTGGATATATCCGACTTTAATTATTTTTCTATAGTATTTATAAAGTTTTTGTTCTTATCTTTGGAAACTAAATACAACTACTAATACTATTATAATAAAATGATAATTGTGTTAACATAACGTTTTATGTCTTTGAGCTAGGACAAGTTGATGTTTCTATTTGGCATCTTTTATTGAACGACAACTTGAAGCTGTGTAAAGAGCTTTGTTACTTCAATTGATTTTTGCGTCTTGTCTGTTACAGTCTACTATTTTTCAAGGTAGCTGAGACTTGTTTGAAGTAAAAACAAGTCCCAACACAAAATATTTTAAGTTAATTTTTATAATAATGTCTGAATTCTTTTATTATGTTTTGTCTTTATTTAAATTATGAAGAGAAAGGCACCTCCTCCTTAAATGTGAACGCGAATATAATCTTATTAATGACGTATGAACGTGATGAGAATAATTTTCTCCTTATTATTAATAAAGCTTCGTTTGATTTTATCACGTCATAAACATGGTACATATTATATTAAAAATTGGATTTAAATTTATTTGCTTTTACATGAATTATATTTTTAATTAATGTATTTAAGATATGGCCAGAATATGAGGCCATAATATAGTACTTTTCTCCACGAGCGAGGATCCGTGCTCTGTCAATCTTAATGTAGTGGACTGGTTAGTCCATTGTGTGTTCACACACTGCTGATTTTGCCTATTTTTAATATTCGAGATACCATATTTAACCCAAGCTTCCCTATGTTTGTCCAATGTGAATATTTTAATTATTAAGACCTATAAACGAAGTATTTTAATTATTATGTATTAACATAACATATACAGGGTGGCTGGTGAATTACTATCAATATTTAAGGAGAATACTCGGTACATGATTCTCATTCGAATTATGTAAAAAAAATAGGCACTTAATTTTTGACAAAATTTCCGTATAAATAAATAAAGTGTTGACACGTTCCAAGTGTTAAAGTGTGGACGCGTGCGGCGGCGTGCTGATACAACACTACGTCACGACACGCGTATGTGTGAGTGTGAGTGTATACCTAATCTGTAGGGTGCTCACACGATGCGTAATTAATTACACAACTTTTGGTTGACTTTACTTAGAAGTTTATTAATATTTATGTTATATTAATTTTTATTTTGTCATATATGATCGTCAAATATCACGTCCTCAAATATCGATAGTAATTCACCAGTCACCCTGTATATACGAATCATTTGATGTAAATTATTACTGTTGTGTGTGCGTGTGTGCTTTTGCCGTGATTTTGCCGCGATTTTCATCCGCGATTTTTGACCGCGATTTTCATCCGCGATTTTCATCCGCGATTTTTGACCGCGATTTTCATCCGCGATTTTCATCCGCGATTTTTGACCGCGATTTTTGGTCGCGATTTTCAACCGCGATTTTCATCCGCGATTTTCATCCACGATTTTCATCCGCGATTTTCAACCGCGATTTTCATCCGCGATTTTCATCCACGATTTTCATCCGCAATTTTCATCCGCGATTTTCATCCGCGATTTTCATCCGCGATTTTTGACCGCGATTTTCAACCGCGATTTTTGACCGAGATTTTCATCCGCGATTTTCATCCGCGATTTTTGACCGCGATTTTTGGCCGCGATTTTCAACCGCGATTTTCATCCGCGATTTTTGACCGCGATTTTCGTCCGCGATTTTTATCCGCGATTTTTGGCCGCGATTTTCAACCGCGATTTTCATCCGCGATTTTTGACCGCGATTTTCATCCGCGATTTTCATCCGCGATTTTTGGTCGCGATTTTCATCCGCGATTTTTGACCGCGATTTTCATCCGCGATTTTTGGTCGCGATTTTCAACCGCGATTTTCATCCGCGATTTTCATCCACGATTTTCATCCGCGATTTTCATCCGCGATTTTCATCCGCGATTTTCATCCGCGATTTTCAACCGCGATTTTCATCCGCGATTTTTGACCGCGATTTTCAACCGCGATTTTTGACCGCGATTTTCATCCGCGATTTTCATCCGCGATTTTTGACCGCGATTTTTGGCCGCGATTTTCAACCGCGATTTTCATCCGCGATTTTTGACCGCGATTTTCGTCCGCGATTTTTATCCGCGATTTTTGGCCGCGATTTTCAACCGCGATTTTCATCCGCGATTTTTGACCGCGATTTTCATCCGCGATTTTCGTCCGCGATTTTCAACCGCGATTTTCATCCGCGATTTTTGACCGCGATTTTCGTCCGCGATTTTCATCCGCGATTTTCATCCGCGATTTTCATCCGCGATTTTCATTCGCGATTTTTGGTCGCGATTTTCAACCGCGATTTTCATCCGCGATTTTTGACCGCGATTTTCGTCCGCGATTTTCATCCGCGATTTTCATCCGCGATTTTCGTCCGCGATTTTC